GCCACGTGCCAGCCGGGATGGTGTCCTGTGTGGGATCGGGGCAGGACATGGGTCAGGGAGTTTCTGAAGGGTCCCTGGGCGAGCTGCCAGGGATACGGGTTTCCTCTGAAAAGCACTTGGCTATTGCAAGAAAAGTGCTGCAGGGTCGTGCTGGGCCGAGGTGAGAGCGTCCAGGCTCTGCACGGTGCTGGGGTTGGCAGCGGACGGGCAGGATGTTCCCTGGGGTGTCGTGGCCTTGTTGGGGTCCCCCGGGAGCCCCAAGGCTTTCGGGTTTGCTTTGAAGGGCTCTCCGGAGCTGGTGGCTGTGTTGACAGTGCGGGCAACGTTTCTCCCAGCCCTATTCCCAGCTGGGTTGCTGGGGGACACCACCCCCAGCCAGTGCTCCCCTGCCCGAAACAAGGAGCACATTAATGACCCAGGCTCGAAACGAGGAGTGTGTTAATGACCCTTGCTTAAAATGAGGAGCACGCTAACGAAGGCTCTGCGTGCCTGCTGTCAGACCCTCAGCCACGTTCTCGCGGAGCCCAAATGTGCCAGGGGGGCAGCAGGGAGGAGCTGGGGTGCTCGGGAGCCTCAGCTTTGGGGGTTTGCTCATTTGGGGTCTTGCAGAGCCTGCTGTGTGTCGGGAGCAGCCCCTCTCAGTGTCCCCACAGGAGAGATGTCCCCAGGGACCTCACCGCAGTGGGGCCAGGGCAGCTTCCCAGCCCCCCCCCCCGTCCCAAGTCGGCCCCGGTGGGGGGGCTGCATGCCCAGCACCGGTGAGGATGGGGGCTCCTTTCCCCTGTCACCCCCTGGGGTGCAGGTGCCAGCAGTCACGGTGATGGGGAGGGGGTGTCGGTGGCTTCGTGCATCCCCTCGCCGGGGCTGGCGCGGGCGGTGGTGCTTCGCTTGTGCTGGTGCGAGGCTGAGCACCGCACTGCGCCGCGCCTGCCCGGGCTTGTCGGTGAACTTTTATCCTTTCGCCGTGGGGTCTGGGTGCAGGGGGGGGAGAGGAGGAGGGCTGGATCGCCCCGGGCCCCCCACATGGGAAGGAGGGATGGAGCCAAGATGCAGTTGGACCCCCCCCCCCCCCCGCCCCAGCTCTTTGCAGGGTCTGCTGGCCCCCAGCACCGTGGGGAATCGTCCCATGGGGTCCTGGTGCTGCCCTGCCGTGGGTTGGGGGATCCCTGGGTAAGGAGGGGACCTTGGGGCCGTTTTGCCCCACGCTTTATCCCCTCGGATGATGTCAACTGGGGACACGCTGTGCTGCAGGTCCCCTCGTGCAGCGGGTGCTGGTGGCCGTGCCCTGCATCCGCGGTGGTTTGGGGGGATGCTGTGGCAATAGCCACCCCCCCTCAGTTTGCAAAGGGCAAGAGAGCAGATGTGCCCGAGAGGGGTGACACCACCGCTGGCCACGGGACCAGCCAGGAGGGCAGGGGTGGCCGGGGCCAGCAAGGAGCGTGTTGAGGCATAGGTCGCTGTGCCGTGACACTGGCAAAGGCAGGGCTGGGCGGCGTGTTGGGGTGCAGGGCATCGCCCCTCTGCTTTGGGCAGACCTCCATCCTTTGCTGTGCGCCCCGGTGCAGCCGGGACACAGGGGTCTGGGGCGGTGCGGGCGCCGCCGGGGCTGTGCGGGGGCTGCCGGGGCTGTGCCTCACGGTGCACGAGATGGGGCAATGCTTTGAGGGCTGAGCACACGGGGGAAGAGGAACACACCGTCCCCCCCAGCTCGGCAGCTTGGGACAGCGATGGGGACGGGGTGCTGCCCCACGCCCAGGGGTGACTGGCACCTCTGCCCACATCGCAGCCCTCGGCTCTGAGCGGCCGCGTCCCCGTGCCCCCAGCCCCGAGTGCTCTCCCCCGCACGCCCCCGACCCGATCCATATCGCAGCTGGTTGTGCTGGTCCTGGCAGCACCCTGCTCCTGACCTCGGCACCCGCTCCCGGGTACCCACCGCGCCGCTCCGACCGCAGCCGCTGCCTCCGAAATACTTCCTTCCCCTCACCCACCAGAAAACACCCATCTCTCAAGCACCCCTCCCTCTTTGCAACCCTCCTCCTTGCTTTTGCAGGGTTTAAAGAGGCTTCTCGTCGCTTTTCCAAGCTCTCCGGCCCCAAACAGGCAGCTGCCTGCAGCCCTGCTGCCGGGGTCCCCCCTTGTGCGTCCCCACCCACGGTGCTCGGGCCGAGCTCTGAGCCCGTGGGAACGCCGTCCCCAGCTCCTGGCTCAGCCTTGGCCTTGTGGGGAGATAAGGGCTGCCCTGGCATCATCCTCCCCTGCCCGCTGCGGGCACCCGTCCCTCACCCGCTGGGGGACCTCGCAAGGGTGCAGCCCCCCCCCCCCCCCGCCCTCTTCCAGCAGCCTTGGGCTGGAGCGTGGCACCCCACAAAGGCAGGGTGCAAAGGGGCGAGCCAGCTGGGTGCAGGGGGGCTCCCTCCAGGCATGGTGCCAGCGAGCATCCCCGCCGCAGATCGGCGGTCCCGGGGGTCCCCAAGCCCCGCGGAAGATGCTGGTGCTGCGGGTGGGGGCTTCTCCCCCTGGTCCCCCGGGGGAGCAGCCGGGGGGCAGGAGCCGGTGACATGTTTTCCGACAGGTCCGGTCCCCTCCCTGCCTGGAGCAGGTCTGGCCGGCGGTCCCTCCACAGGCCGTCCAGCCGTGCCGGTTTCCTAATTGCTCCTGTTGTTGGTGTTTTGTAAGGGCTGGGTGGAGCGCGGCGCTCGGCCGTGCCTTGCGTCAGCGCGGTGCCTTGCACCCTCCCTCCAGGAAATCCAGTGTCTTGGCCTGGCCAAAAGCAGGTTCGGTGGAGGAGGAGGAGGAGGAGTCGCTTCCTCGCACCTTGGCCGGGGCCCCGGCATCCCCCTCCCTTCTCTCCCGGCTTCCCTGAAAAGGCTGGGCTGGGGTTTCCCTGCTGGGGGGGGTGGTGGGGTGGAGGGGGCTGGGGAGGGGGGGATGCGTGCCGCAGGCAGGGTGTGCAGGCAGCCGGCACCCTGCCTGTGCCTGCAGTGCCCGGCATGGGGATGGTGACCCAGGGCACCGGTCACGCTGCTCGTTGCAGGATCCTGCCTGCAGTGGTGCAGCCAGCCCTATAGATTTGCTCTCAGACCTATAGATTTGCCTTTGGCCCCATAGCTTCGCCCTTGGCCCCAAAAGCACCCGTCATGCAGGGAGAGCAGAGGGTCTGGTGGATCCAAGGGTCTGATGGATCCATGCGAAGCCACAACCCTGGCACCAGCTCTTGGGGTTCTCCCCTCTTGGGGTGAGCTGATGGCAGCCCCGTGGGGTCCCAGGACTGTGGGGTCCTGGGCTGGTGCAGGACTGAAGGGTCCCAGGCCACTGCGGGATCTCGAGCCTGGGGGGGGTCTTGAGCTGCCACGGTACAGCTGGGGAGTCTTTGGGCTGCTGGGAGGCCCCAAGCCACCGTGGGCTCTGGGGTCGCTGCAGGACTGTGGGATCTGGGGGCTGCAGGGTCTCAGGCTGCTGTAGTGCAGCTGGGGGGGGTCTCTGGTTTTCCCATGCCTGGGGGGCAGGGGGGGGTGTCCTGGTCTGCTGGGGGGGTCTTGGGCTGCCATGGTGCAGCTGGGGCTCAGCACCCGGCTGAGGCAGCCGCACACCCCATTATCGGTGCCACACTGGGACGGAGCCCTGTTGCACTGGCTGGGCTGCAGGAGGGGGAGCTGGGAGGGGGGGTCCCACCGGGGCCGTCCCCACGTGCCACCCTCACTGTCCCTGCCTGGTGCCTTGTGCTGGTGTCCCCCCACCCTCCCATCCCCAACACTCCGCTCAGTCTGGGACAACGCATCCCTCCCGGGGGCTGCCCTGCGGAGCACCCCGGCAGCAGGCACGACCGGGATGCCGCGGGACTCGGGGTGTCACAGGACCTGGGACTCGGGGTGCTGCGGGACTCCGGGTGCTGCAGGACTCGGGGTGCCACGGGCCCATCCGACACCGCTGCCGCCATCCCTCCCTTGGCCGGCTGGCTCGATCCTACAATCCAGTTCTCCTTATTTGGCCACAGTGCTCGGCAAGAGGGGGAGCGGCGGGCGGGGGGGGGGATGGCAGGCAGGGGCGGGCGGCGGGGACCCGAAGGGGCTGACATCACATCACGGCGAGGGAGAGATGGGGGAGCGGGGCGGGGAGAAGCGGGGGGGGGGGGGAAGTTTCTTTTTTTATAAAAGGAAAAAAAAAAAAAAAAAAAAAAAAGAAGGCCTCACAGCGCACTTGAGCCAGCGGGCTGCTGCAGTTCCTTTAAAAGGAGATGTCTGCGCCGGAGACCTTTGTACACTCCCAGCCCGTCCGGGAAGCGTGGCGGAGCAGGAGACACCTCTCCGCTCCCACCGCCGGCAGCTGCCGCCAAACATGTTATTGCAAAACACTGCGCGGGGAGCTGGGCAAAGGGAAGAGGAGGAGGAGAAGGGTTGAAGGCTCCCCGGCATGACCCACCAGGCGGGGAGCGCCCCGGGCCCTGGGCGAGCATCCTTGGGGCGGGGGGCCTCTCCTGGTGCCAGGGGTAGGGCTGCGGAGGGCTCCGGCCACCTGGTTCCCATTAGCCGGGTCTGGCTTGGAGCCGCCCAGCGTCTCCCTACAAATCCCAGCTCTGCCTTCGCCAGGCACGGCGGAGCGGGGATTTGGGGGGCTGGGGGTGGTTTTGGGGGCTGGCTTGCCCAAGGAGCGGGAGTGGGTATTGGTGCAGGGGCTCACAGGCAGCGGGGGCTGCTGGTGGCCCCGTCCCGAGGTGTCACCCGTGGGCACCGTGCGCCCGAGCTCTTCCTATGGATAACACAGTATCCAGGTTGTTTCCTTCCCAAACTTTATTTAGATGGTCACTTGTGGCTTGGATTTGGGGGTACTCATGGAAATCATGGCTCTGCCCCCAAGGAAAGCCTGTTGATGTCCCTGATGCCCCACCCCAGGATGCCGCTCCCAGCCCGGCGTGCGAATGGGGACAGGGCCAGCACCAGGAACAGCCCTGGGACCCCAGCAAGGGTGTGTGGGTCTCACGGGTGTCCCCTGTGTCCCGGCAGGTTGTCGCGTGTCCGTGGGGGCTCGGGGTCGGAGCCCAGAGCAGCCAGCACCATAGCGTCCAACAGCTGGAACGCCAGCGGCAGCCCCGGGGAGGGGCGGGAAGATGGCCAGGACGGCATGGACAAGAGTCTGGACAATGATGCCGAGGGCGTGTGGAGTCCGGACATCGAGCAGAGCTTCCAGGAGGCGCTGGCGATCTACCCCCCCTGCGGCCGGCGGAAAATCATCCTCTCGGATGAGGGCAAGATGTACGGTGAGTGATGGCTGGGACGGGGCGGCCGGGGGTGAAGCAAAACCTCCTGTCCCAAACCCACACCGGGGCCGTCGCCCTCGAGCTCCCCCCCAACCCTGGAAAGAGCTTCCCCGGCTGCATCCCGGAGCCGGACCGGGGAGGTGGCAGTGACCCGCGTCCCCTCCCTCTGCGCTGGCTCTCCCTCCCGCTCCCGCCCTCTCTCTGTCCTGCCGGACCGACTGGTTTGGTGAAGCCGTCGGGCAGGGAGCGGGTGCGGGCAGGGAGCGGGTGCGGGACTGCGGGGCCAGCGCCAGCCCTCCTGCTCCCCTGTGCCTCCGCAGCGCTCCCCAAACCTTCCCCAACTGGACCTGGTGGCGAGGGCCACCCGCCCACCCCGAGCCGCCGGCACCCGGCTCAGCTTTCGGTGACTTTGCTGGCAGCAGCGGGGCTGGTCGGCCCCACTGGTGCAATGAGTTTTGGGGGGGGTCTCAGCCTAGTTCTTGGTGTGTCCGGAAACACCTCTCTCCTGGGGGCTCTCTGCAACCAGAAGGAAGAGGATGAGGATGGATGATGCAGGGGTGGGGTGATGCTGGTGCAGGGTGCATGGTGCCACCAAAGAGCGGTGGGAAATGTGCCATGGTGTCCTCACCCCTGCCAGGGTAAGGGCTGGTCCCTCCTCCCCTCCCATGATGTCACCCCCAGGGCCGGTGACCTCAGAGCTTGGGACAGGTTGCCACATTACCATCACCCCGCGGTGACAAAGGGACCGAGGCTGGTGCCTCCATCCCCAGCCTCCAAAATACACCCACCCAGGATGCTGCCGTCACCGGCAATGGCTCACCCGCTGCCGGCCGAGAGGGGCAAAGGGGCCGAGGCTTTGTGACGAGCACCGTGCCACTGTCCCCATGCCAGCTCCCTGTGCCACCCCGCTTGCCAGGGCCCCCAACCCAGGGCGTCGGGGCTGGCAGCCAGGGGGGGAGCACAGGGCTTCCCAAGCGGGTGCATTTTTTGGATTTCTCCCGGAATAGCTGAAGTGCCGCCGGGAGCCTGGCCCTGCGCAGCGGGGCCGAGCCCCGACCGGTTTTTCCAGCCTTTCGGAGACATCTGGCAGCTGCTTAAAGAGGCAGCAACCCCCCGCCGGCCTCCTTTCATCTCCCCCCACCCTCCCCAGCACCAACCCCACCAGGACCCCCAGGACACCCAGCTGGCAGTGCCGAGCTAACCGGGACCCCCAGGGCCACCGGTGGCACAGGCGATGCCAGCATCCACCAGAAAGGTGTGCCAGTGCTGCTGCTCTCCAACACCCCACCCCCCCCCTCCCAAAATGGGGGGGCGTCCCATGGGATGCCCATGGCCACGCCAGCCCTTGCCCCACTGTTGCCAGTGGTGCGGGGGCACAGAAGCAGGTGGGAGCTTGGGGTGGGGGGTGGGGGGTGGCCACGCTGGCCCCTGCTCTTCCTCGCTGCCCGCCGGGTTATTTTTAACCCAGCCCATCCAACTGGTTCACGTGGTGGTGTCAGGGGAGAGGAATTTGGGGAATGTGGTAATTTGGAGGAGGACGTGCCCTCTCGGAGGGAATGGCACGGGCCCGGGTGAATCACGGGGGACAGGGACAGGGTGCGCGGGCACGGGGACGGCTGCGGGGAGGCCGCGAGGGTGCAGCCCGGAGCGGTGGCCACGGCGTGGTGCGAGGCAGGATGGGTGCGGGAGATGCTTGGCACTGGGTGCTGGGCTGGCACTGCCCCGCCGGGGTGCATGAAGGCACCCGCATTTCTTGCCCGTATTATTTCTTTCCCACCGGCTGGGTATGGGGAGGGAGAGGATGGAGCTCAGGAGCGGGATGTGCAAAAGGGGATGCTGCGGTGCTCGGTGAAGGCGTACCCCCAAACTGGGGCTCAGCACCAAGGTCCTGTACCCCTTGGCAGCACCCTGCTGTTGGGCATCACCTCCCCCCGGGCTTAAAGGACACCCCTGGGGACCTGGAGTCGTTAGGTGCTAATGAGGCCGGGGAGCCAGCGCCGGCTGGGATTGGCAGTGAGGGGTGGGAGCTGTGCTGGGTGCTTCGGGGTGGCACTGGGGTGCTGCGCTGGCCCCACAAGGGTTGCCCCCCCATTTCCAGGACCCCCAGTGGACCCACCCACCAGCTCCTGAGTGGCGTGGGCACCCCAAGGCGCAGCCATCCCCCCGCAGCACCTGGCCCTGTCTGTCCCCATGTGTGTCGTCCCCCCCCCCCCCAGGACATCCCAGTTGCTCTGGGGCTGGGAGGGGGCCAGTCGGGGTGGAAGAGGGTGGCTGGGGGGGGTGTGTGTGTATTTTTTTTTTTTTTTAAGGGATTTTTTTTTTTTTTTTTTTTTTTTTTTTTTGTAAAGCCGAAACCCTCTCCAAGGGCATTTCGACAAGTTCCAACCGCGACCATCTGGTCCATTAAAATAAATCTGGCGTGCCTGGCCGCCCCCGTGTGCGGGGGGCGCGGCGGCGGGGGGGGCCGGGGCCGGGGCCGGGAGAAGAAAGCTCCCAGCTGCTCTGACGTTTGAACGTAGATTGGCCACAGCTGGCCCCTAAAATGTGGCGCAAAAGCAACTTCTGCTTCAAATTAGACCCAGGACGTTAGGAAATACTGGTGGAAAGGCCAGCGCGGCTTGCAAACGGGAAGCGGGGTGCCAGGGGGGCACCCCAGGACCACTGTGGGAAGGGCTGGGGGGGAGCGGGTTCATCGGCTCCCCCCGGGGGTGCTCCAGCTGGGCTGGCTTTTGGGGGGGGGGGGGTGTCTGTGGTTGCCCGTGTTTGGGGACATCGCTGCGGTGGGCGTCCCTGGAGGCTGTCACCAACCCCCCCCCCAAGCTCCCTGTGTCTGGGGGCTGCCACACCCAAGTGGGTGGGGGCCATGAAGTGGGTCCCGCTGGCCTGGCGGGGGGGTGGGGGGGATGGCCACCCCTGTGTCCCCTCGGGCCACCCCGATGTCCCCTCGGGCTGGACAGCTGTCCTGGCAGCGCCATCTCCTGGCAGTGCCTCCCTCATTAAGGACTTGTCTCATCAAGGACCGGCCTCGTTAAGGACCAGCATCATCAGGCCGGGCTGGAAAGGACAGGGTGGGGGGCCGGAGGTGCCTTTTGGGGGTGATGCCCCTGTCCCGCCCCCCAATTTTCCCAGGGCTGACCCCTTGGCTCTGCCGGCAGGTCGTAACGAACTGATAGCCCGGTACATCAAGCTGCGGACGGGGAAAACACGGACGAGGAAGCAGGTGAGGCTTTTTCTCTTGGGAGGGCTAGGGGGGAGCGGGAGGGGGGTGCCAGGTAAGCCGGCGGGGGGGAGCGGGTGTCCGTCTGCATCGCCTGTCCTCCGTGGCCCCTCTTGGAGCTGCCAACAGGACCCTCATCCTCTGCAAGGAGCTTCATCTGCGAGCATGACCACCCTCGGGCTGGTCTGTCCCTGGTCTGGGGATGCCCTGAAATTAGGGGTGTGGGGGGCAGGTAGCACCTAGCCCCCCCCCCCCCCTTCCTGGCTGGGGTCACCCCCTGGGTGGCAGGCACCCTTGAAATCTCCATCCAAGCAGCGTGTGCATCTCTCTGCTGCTCCACCTGGATGCAGAGACTCTTCCCACCTCTGCCAGGCTTTATTCCAGACGCCACGGTGAGGGCACCCCCAAAATCCCCAGGCTGAGAGGAAGGCATCCCCATGCCAGCCAAGGGACAGGCTGTGCGAGTCCTGGGGGGCCCGGAGGCACCCCAGAACCCTTGCTCCAACTTTGCTGCCCTGCAGGGTTGGATGGCGGGGCAGGTAGCGCGCAGGCAGGGGTGCCGGCAGGGCGGGGAGCACGCAGCAGTGGCCCCCCCCCCCCCTTTGCCTGCACAGTGCGTGGGCAGGGTCGCATCCAGCCCAGCTGCGAGCCCCCGCTGCACCCTCGTGCCAAGGACCAAACCTGTCTGAGGACGGGGCTGCCGCAGCCCTCGATGGGACGTGTCCGTTTGCCATGTGTCCGGTGGCTTGTCCCTCCCCGCCGTGGTGGCCCCCCGTTGGGAGCCGTGCCGCCGAGCTGGTGGCCCGGGATGGTGGGGAGCGGGTGCGTCTCCCGCCGCAGAGGGACGGATGGGTTTGGGGCATGGGCACGCTTACGTTGGGACTGTCCCATGCCACAAGTCCCCGCAACAGAGGTCCCCAGGAACTGGGGGGGGGACATGCCTCCAGCATCAGTCCTGAGAGAGGGACCAGGGTCCGGCCACCGTCCTTGTGTTCAGACCAGTGCTGAGCTGCCCTTCATTTCTGCCTTAAAGCCTGAACTGGACACCCTGGACCCCCCCTACGTGCGGGGAAGGATGCTCCGGGGGAACTCGGGAAAGGCACAGAGCATTGTCCCCTCTGTGCAGTCGTGTCCTGGACAGCCTGGTGTCCCTCCTTGGACAGCCTGGCACTGGTGGGAGAAGGATTTTGCCGAATTCAGCCACAGTGCCCAGTGGGTGCAGGGACCCCGACCCTGCCGGGGCCTCAGGGCAGGCACCCCAGCCATGCTGCGCCTTTCCTGCCCGTACATCAGCCCCTTTTCTTTGGATCTTGCTCTTAAGAGGGGTCTGAACACAGAAAAAAAAAAAAAAAAAAAAAAAAAAAAACCAAAAAACAACAACTTTTCTCACCTTTCCCACCTGCAAAATTAGCAGGAGCCCTGGGGGAATGAGCTGGTCCCTCCTGGATCTCCCTTGGGACCTGCAGTCCCTGCTGGGTGCGAGCAGCAACTCATTGTGCTCACAAGGGCTGAGGAGGGGGGGGGTGTCTGTCTGTCCAGAAAGCCCCAAGAAATGGTAAATGTGGACACGCCTCCCCCCAACTGCAGCAGGAGGAGCTTCACCCCAACCTGGGGCGGGGCGGGACACAAACCCCCATCAATCGATCAAGCACAGCACCGGGTTCCCCCCCAATTTTCCTCCCTCCAGCTCGCGGCGGGCACAGGACCCTCAGCATCTCCAGGAGCGTCACCCCGGCAGCCCCGCGCGCTCCCCTCCTCTTTTCTCCGCGCTCCTTTCCCCGGGGACAGCACCCCCGCCTTGCCGGGGGCGGGGGGTGGGGGGGTGGAAACCATATCTTCACGCTCTCTATATTTTCCTTTCCGAACGGCGTGGCGGGCGCTAGGTGTCCAGCCACATACAGGTTCTAGCTCGGAAGAAGGTGCGGGAGTACCAGGTTGGCATCAAGGTACGTTGGCGCCCTTGCCCAGGTGTCCGCGGCGGTGTCTCTGTGAGCATGGGCAGCCCCTCTTCTTCCTCCTCCTTTCCTCTGGTTGACGGCTCTGCTGTTCCCCCTCTCCTTCTGCTCTCTCTCTGCAGGTCTCTAGCCACTTGCAGGTTCTTGCCCGGCGGAAATCTCGTGAGATTCAGTCCAAGCTGAAGGTACGCGTCCCCCCCCCGCCCCGCCTGGCCCCCCCGCCTGCTGACGACTAACGCACTCGGCTCTGCGGTGTGCTGCTTGCTTTCCTTTATTACCTCTCTTTTTTGGTGTTTTTTTTTTTCTTCACTCTTCCTTGGCTCCTGGGACCAAATGGTTTTTAGAGGCATCGTTGGAGGATGCTCACAGGGAAGTGCAAGGCGGGGTGCAGCTCGAAGGCAGGGTGGTGACACCAGAGGCCTTCCCTCTCCCCCAGGAGGGGGAATTTGGGTGCCAGATCCCCTCCTTTCACCCAGGCAAGGACTCCACTGTGGGGAAATGGGGGTTTAAACCCTCCTCTAGTGATGCACGAGGGCTGCCCCCTCTTTTGAGCCATCAGGGTTTTGTCCCAAGAGGAGAAGGACCCCCCCGAGCAGCCAGCAAGGCAAAATTAGGTTCAAGCAAGGGGTACAAAGGGCCACCCCCTTGCAGCTGAGACCTGGCCCCACTCGTGACAGGTGCCGGTGGGTTGTGGGCAGAAGCAGGAGGGTCCTGGGAGTCCGTGGGGGCTGCCAGCTCAGTGGCTTGTGGTGCACCAGGGTCCAAGTATGGCCCAGGTGGCACCTTGGGGATGGGGGTGGCAGCGGGTCTGGATGGGGTCACGCTGCCAGGGAGGGGGGCCACGGCGGTGCCGGGGCAGACCGTGGTTCCAGAGGCCAAGGGAGCCGAGCAAGGAGAAACTGGATCATCCTTCTCTTCTCTGGTTGGCTTTTCTTTCCTTCCTTCCTCCTAACTGGAGCCCGACTAACCCTTCCGTAACTGTTCCCACCGAGCTTCACGGCGGTGGGGGGGAGGGTGATGATGGGGGGGACGGGGCAGGACTGGGGGGGCGTCGCCGAAGGACCGAGCCCTGCTCGGGTTGGACCCACAGGGTGCAAAGTGGGGGACAGAGCGGTCCCCACTGCACGACCACCCGTTGGGGACAGCCGGCAACAGGCCGGGCTGCGCCGCTCGGGATGCTCCCGGGATAATCCCTGGATTAACACCGGGGAGCATCTCCTTGGGCGGGATCCAGGGGGGACCCGCTGCCTCGCCGAGGCTGTGGGGGCCCAGAAAACCTTTCAACCCTCTGCTGTGACCTCAGGGTCCCCAGATCACCGCCAGCTTCCCGTGTCCCTGTCCCCCCGTCCCAGGTGCTGTGTCCCAAGCCTCCAGCACAGAGCTGGCGCTGGCATCTTGGTCCCAAAGCTTTAATGAGCTCTGTCTCACGCTGCCCACTAAGCCGTGCCCTCCAAAGCCCTTCAGCAGGGACCCCCGTGCCCCGTGAGTGGGATGCCAGGAAGGCTCCCACACCCCAGTGGGTTTGGTCTGCTGGGAGAAACCAGGAGAGGGCACCCAAAACTCTTTGGGGAGGGTCCTCTGGGCTTGTGTGTCTTGAACCCAGCTCCCACCCCCAAGAGGGGCAGCCAGGGAGGCGGGGAGAAGCAGGGGCAGCAACAGCAAAAGCCTTTGCACCAGAAGGTAAAATAAAATAATAAAATAAAAAAATAAAAAAAATAAAAATAAATAAAAATAAAATAAAATAAAATAAAATAAAATAAAATAAAATAAAATAAAATAAAATAAAATAAAATAAAATAAAATAAAATAAAATAAAATAAAATAGGCTTTCCTTGCTGCACAGTGCAGGAAAAGGGGGAATCAGAGGCAAGAGTGACCCGAGGGGCCCAGGGCTGGAGGCTGGTGGCTGTGGCTGTGCTCTCCATCCCCAGCCATGCTGCCTGCAGGGATCTGGCAGGTAACAGCCGGGGCAGAGATCCCCCTCAGCGATATGCTGTGGGTGCAAACCTCCCTTTCCCAGCCATACTTGGAGGCAAAGCCCAGCGCAGGCAGCCCTCTGCCCTCACCCAGTGCTTGCCCTGTTGAATGGAAACTCCCTCCCCTGAGCAATAGATATATATTTTTAAGCTGCAGTCATGTACATTAGTGCTGCCCGGCATGTAGCTGCATGCCCACACTCTTGCCCTGCCCCGGGTGAAAATAAATGAAGCGATTGATCCCTGGAAAAGGTTCAGAGTGAAAACAGAGGGTGTGGAGGGGGGACACGACACCAGCACACCCGTGTCCTGGTGATGCGGCTGGAGGAGCAGCCTGGCCCTGGGGCAAGACCTGAGAGCCCTCTGCTCCTGCCTGGAGCTGCTGCGACCTCCGGACCAAAAGGGAAAAGATAAAATAATTGGTCTCCTAAATAAATGCACACATGGCATAGGGGGGGGTTGTGCCCGGGGTCTTCCTTGCGGTGCCTATGGGGGAGCTGGTGCCGACACCCCGGGGGAGCCGGGAAGGGCAAGAGCTGGGCAGCTCTTCCTCTCCGTGAAGGGGCTGGGGGCTGCTGGGGGGGTTGTAGAGTATAATAAAGGCTGTAAAGGATATTAAAAAGCCAACAAAGGTGCAGGCCTGGCTCGCCACAACAACCCCCTAAAATAGTGGGGGGCTTTGGCATCCTGGTAGAGTTAAGCCTGGGCATTGGTCCCCCAGTGACCAGCTGGACTGAGGGGTTTGCTCCCCAAATCAGGCTGCAGTGATGAGCTGGGGTGGGGGATACACAACTCAGGGAGGGGGGCGGGATGTGCACACAGTGCCTGCAGGCTCCCACGATGCTCTAACCTTTTTTTTTTTCCTTTCTTTTTCGGACAGGCCATGAACTTGGTAAGTTGAGCTTGAGTTTGCGATGCCTTTTGTTCCCCATTGCCTTTCACTCCCTCCTGCAGAGAGGCCAAACCCTTTGTGTCCCTGGGGGGTGTGGGGACACCTTCCAGAACCTGGCAACCCTTGCTCAGGGGACATTTGAAAGCTTCAAGCATTAATTAACATGGATGTATTTGGAAGGGGGGCATCCACTGTCCGGGTTCCTTGGCCGGGCTGCAAGCCGGCTGTTGAGTCTTGCACACTCAGATTAGGGGGGGGTGTCTCAGTCTGCCCCTGTAACCCCCATCTCCCTCCTGTTCCCCCCCAGGACCAGGTCTCGAAGGATAAGGCTCTGCAGAGCATGGCTTCCATGTCCTCCGCGCAGATCGTGTCGGCCAGCGTCCTGCAGAACAAGCTCAGCCCCCCCCCTCCTCTTCCTCAGGCCGTCTTCTCTGCTGCCCCCAGGGTGAGGAGCAGCCCCGTGTGGGGACACACTTGGGGGGGAACACAGGTCTTCATACACGAGCTGCACAGGGGCAGGGAGGGGATGTTCAGTGGCCACCCTCTGCCCTGGTGGCAATGCAAGGGGGGGGGGGGTTGGGGGTTCCCTGTGGTTTGCAGCAGGTGAGGAGGGGAATTTGGCAGGTGGGGGGTCAGAAGCTGCTGACTCTTCCTTGTGCTCTTCCCCCAGTTTTGGAGTGGGCCTATCCCAGGACAGCCTGGACCCTCTCAGGAGTAAGTGCGAAACCCCTTCACTACCCGCTGCCAGGCGGGACCCCCACTTGGCGAAGGGACTGGGGCAACCCAGGCTTTGTTAACCTAATGATGCTTTTTGCTTTCCAGCATTAAACCGTTTGCACAACCAGCTTACCCCATCCAGCCACCCATGCCTCCATCACTAGCCAGTAAGTGCTGTCCTTGCCCCCTTGCAGGGGACCCTGCACCCCTACTCAGTCCTATTTGTCCCCTGTCCTGTGCCACCTTCCCACCCACAGTGCCACCCACCCGTGGCGTGCTCCCAGGGGAAAATCGTGGGTTTAAATGTGGTGAAAAGCCCCGCAGGGAGCAGGACCCTGCTGCTCCTGCCTGCGTCCCCCTCCCTGTCCCTTCCCACCCAGGAGAGGGACCAGCACATCCCATCTTTTGGCCACCCCCGTGCTGGGAGATACAGGAGGGTGGGGGGGATGCAGTAAGGACAGCAGAGCCGTGGTGGTGCTGGGGGGGGGGGGGGGGGGCTCGCCCCAGCTCACGGCTGCCCCCCCCCACCCCCTGTGCCCCCCACCCCTTAACCCCAGGTTACGAGCCCTTGGCTCCGCTCCCGCCAGCCGCCTCGGCCGTGCCGGTCTGGCAGGACCGCACCATCGCCTCCGCCAAGCTCCGGCTCCTCGAGTACTCCGCCTTCATGGAGGTGCCGCGGGACGCCGAAACGGTAACGGCCCCCTCCCGTGTCCCCTCCACCCGGGTGGGATGGTGCCCGTCCCTGCTCTCGGTGGCATCTTGCTTTCAACTGACCTCTCTTTTTTTTTTATTTCCGCCCGCCCCGGTCCTTACAGTACAGCAAACACCTCTTCGTGCACATCGGCCAGACGAACCCCTCGTACAGCGATCCGCTGCTGGAGGCCGTGGACATCCGCCAGATCTATGACAAGTTCCCCGAGAAGAAAGGTGGCCTCAAGGAGCTCTATGAGCGTGGCCCCCAGAACTCTTTCTTCCTCGTCAAATTTTGGGTACGATGCCGGGAGGATGAGGATGGGGAGGGTCGTCCTCGAGCCACGGGCTCGTTGCGGGGTCAGGCACCCCACTGGCAGAGCGGGAGCAAACCTGGGCAGCTCTGTAAACCAGTTTCCTCTGTCCCCATCGAGAGCTGGCTGTGATGGCACCTAATGGGACCCTCTCTCTGCTCTCATCTCTCCAGGCGGATCTGAACAGCACGATCCAGGACGGGCCAGGGACTTTCTACGGTGTCAGTAGCCAGTACAGCAGTGCGGAGAACATGACCATCACGGTTTCCACCAAGGTGTGCTCCTTTGGGAAGCAGGTCGTGGAGAAGGTGGAGGTGAGTCCCATGCCCCACTGCATCGGGAAGGGGTGGGAATCGGGTCCTCGGTGGGTCCCGGGATGGAGAGAGCCCCCGAGCTGGGGGTAGGACACATGGGTGCGTGCCTATCCGTGGGTGGAGCAGAGAGGAGGTCTCCGTCACGTCCCAGTTGGCCACCACCCACCCGTGCCCACGTCCCCGGTCGTGTTTTGGCTCCCGTGGGGTGGCTGCTCACCCCCGCTGTCCCCCGCAGACGGAGTACGCGCGGCTGGAGAACGGCCGGTTCGTCTACCGCATCCACCGGTCTCCCATGTGCGAGTACATGATCAACTTCATCCACAAACTCAAGCACCTCCCGGAGAAGTACATGATGAACAGCGTCCTGGAGAATTTCACCATCCTGCAGGTACCTGCCCCCCTTTTCCAGGGAGCTTTTCCCCCCAGGAGCCCACTCTTGCCATCCGTGCTGCGTGCTGCCCAGCCCCGGGACGCCCGGCCTTGGTGGTGAGAGTGGCCTGAGCCCAAAAATTGGGTAGCAAATTTTTCATGGTGCAGTTAATTTGGCTGTGCCTGAGCCCATGCAACCCTCTGAGTTACGGGGAGCAAATCCTGATGGTGCAAATAAAGTGCCGGCGCTCATGCAAGCCTCCCAAATAATGGGTAGCAAATTTTTGGTGGTGCCATTAACTTGGCTGTGCCTGAGTCCATGCAACCCCCCAAAAATCGGGTAGTAAATTTTTGGTGCTGTAATTAAATTGTCCGTGCTTGAGCTGGTGTAACCCCCCCATTTAACAAAGCCCCCCCCCCCCATTTAACGGGTAGCAAACTTTTCATGGTGCGATTAAAGTGGGTGTGCCTGAGCCTGTGCAACTGCCCCCCAAAAATGGGTAGCAAACTTTTGGTGTTGCAATTAAATTGGCTGCACCTGAGCCTGTGCAACCCCCCAAAAATTGGGCAGCAAATTTCCACGGTGTAATTAAAGTGTCTGAGCTTGAGCCCTTGCAACATCGTGAATTACAGGAAGCAAATCTTGATGGTGCAAATAAAGCAGCTGTGCATGAGCCCATGCAACCCCCCCAAAATTGGGTAGTAAATCCCGATGGTGCAATTAAAGTGGCTGTGCCTGAGCCCATGGAATCCATTCAAAAATTGGGTAGCAGATTTTTGGTGGTGCAATTAAATTGCCTGTGCCTGAGCCTGTGCCACCCCCCAAAAAATTGGGCAGCAAATTTTCATGGTGCAATTAAAGTGGCTGTGCCTGTGCAACCCCCCCCACCCCAGATCCCAGCATTTCCCCATGGGCACGGCCCCCTCCTAACGCGCTCTCTGCTCTGCCACAGGTTGTTACGAACAGGGATACCCAGGAAACCTTGCTCTGCATAGCTTTCGTTTTCGAGGTCTCCACCAGCGAGCACGGCGCCCAGCACCACGTGTACAAGTTGGTCAAGGACTAGAGGCCCTCGGGGACGGGCAGGGGCACGAGGGGTGCGCAGGGGAGGGAGGGGGCCGTGCAGAAAAGCCGCCCGTGCCCGTTGCCTCATGAGAAGTCATTTGAAGAGAGGAGGAGGAGGAGGAGGAAGGAAAACAATAGCCAAAAAAGACTGACTTGCGATCGCAGATGTTTTCTACTTAGGAACGGTTTCTTTTTTTTTTTTTTTAAATAAATAAAAAAAAAAAAAAAAAAAAAAAAAAGAAGAATGGGACAGGAAGCGTAGGGAGGAAGGAAACCCGTGTCTGGCGCTGCACGGGGAGAGACCGGCCCTCGGTGTCGCCGATGAAGGCCAGGAGCCCGCCCTGCCGCCGCCAGCAGTGGGATGTCAGAGTGGAGGATGACCCCTCCTTTCGCCCCCCCCCTACCCCACCCCCCCCACCTCGCTCAGATGGGGTCCCGGTCCTGAGCGGAGAGGAGCGAGCACGGATGGGCCGGAGGACGCAGCGACGTGGCAGGTCTGGTCCGAAACCGATGGGCACGGCAGCGGCCGCGGCACCGGTGCTGCCTGGTGGAGCCTGGGTGACGGCGGGGACGGAGGTGCCGAGGAGGGAGCAGGTAGGAGCAGGGCAGGGCAGGGCGGTGGAGGGGGGTGCTGCCACCCCCCCCCAGGGACCGGCACCCGGGATGCTCCTTCTCCGTGCCCGGCTGGGGCACCAGGAGCCGGCAGCGCTGAAGGCGGGAGGGCATCAACGATGCAAACCATTTTTTTTTATGGCTTGTTTTCTTTTTTTTTTTTTTTTTTTTTTTTTCTTTTTTTAAATTAAAGTGCTTTTTAATTCTTTTTAAAAAGGCACCGTGCTTGTAATCAGGATTATGCCCCTCTGCAGTCTCTGGGACCTGCTCCCCTGTCACCCCGCCGTGCCAGTGACCGGAGGAGGTGACGCAGCGTAGTTTGCAGGGTCGGAGCAAAACTGCCGGGCGTGGGGAGCCGGCTTGGGCAGCAAAGGCTTGGGGGGTGTCTCCATCTCTCTGGGGTCCCTGCAGACCCCCTGAGCTCTGCATGTGCTTTCAGGGATTGCACTTAGGGGTGGCCCAGGTTAAATGTACCCGCTGTGGTCACTTGCTGAGGAGTAATAAGGAGAGAGCAGTGAGGGTGGATTTGCCTGATGCTTTGCGTATGTATATTTTCCTTTTTTTTTTTTTTTTTCCACACTCCCCCCCCCCTCCTTTTTTGCCTTTTTTCTGTGTTGACTGTTCTGTTTTCAGCTGCTCCCTGCAGCCGCTCCGGCCGGCTCGCCCGTATCCCACGGGAAGCGGCCGGGGAGGTGGCTCGGGCAGGGGGGGAAGCACGTTGTGCAATGCAGGGCCAGGCTGCAAGCGGGCAGAGTTTGGGACAGAGGAGAGGGGACAGAGGACAGGAGGGACGCCAGGACAGGGGACTGGGTCTGCTTGGAGGTTTTTTTTTTGCGGCTGCAGCCCAAAATAAGCCAAGGCAGCGTGGCCCTGATCCTGAGGCTGTGTCTGCAAGGGCAAACCCTGGGGAGAGCATCCCCAGGGCGCAGGAAGGATGCAGAGGGACAGAGGTTGGGTTTGGCGGCGGTGGCACGGAGCAGGGTGGCCGGGGGCTGGCAGGGGGACGGGGAGCCTGAGATGGGCAGGTCTGGCCGGGTTTCTTGTGCGGGTGGGGAGCGAAGGCAGCGGGAGGTGCAGAGCCAGGTGCTGCGGGAGGGCAGGAGTGGTTTGAGGGGTGCTGGAGCCCAGGACAGGGAGGGGGGGACAAGGGGGAGTTTAGGCTCGATGCTGCTGGGTGTGGAGAGGCAGGAACGGCCCCAGAGCTCAGGAAAGGGCCTTGGCTGCCATCGCGGTGCCATTTGTGTCCCGCAGGGCTCGGGGACTTCGACCTCTCGTTGCTGGGAGAAGCCACCCATCCCCGCGGGACGGGGCAGAGGCACCCCGGCCCCGCGCCCGGGACGGGGCTTGGTGGTGGGGCTGGACGGCCGCGGCGAGCCGGGGTGGCCGGAGCTGGGGGGAAAGAGAGATGGAAAAATCCAGGGAAAAGCACCAGCATCCCATCCCAGCGCTGTGCCGGGGCCGCCCGGCCTAGTTCTCCTATGTAGCATGTTTGTTGTTTTGTGTTTCTTTTTCTTTCTTTCGTTTCACTCACTGATCTAAAACTCTGGGAATGAAAATTCAAAATTTCCCTGCCATAAAACACAGGTGTGCCCTGCTCCCGGCCCTGCCGGGGGATGAAGCTCTTTGTTAACTGGACCGGTTTGTGCCTCCATCCCTGCATCCCTCCATCCCGCCTGCACCCAGCCTCGGGGCGCCCACCCGCACCCCACGCACACGCTGCCTGGTGCCCCCAACACCCCTGGCCAGGGTTTAGCCACAATCCCAGAGACACTTTCTCAACCTCCCCCCCCAGCCCCTCCGTTCTCCTCCAGTGTATTTATGAATTTCACATGAAGTACTGTTTTATTTTTTTAAAGACTTTGTAAAGCTTACCAGGGTTACAATCACCATTTTTAGAGCTGTGTCAGTCCACAATGTTAAAAATCCATTTTTTTTTATGTATTATATTTTTTGTGTATTTTTTTTTTAATCCAGCTGTGATGGGTTGTATCATATATTTGTTGTGTTTACTGTATCTGTCCAACTTCAAAGAGAGGAGACTGTGGAGCTCCAAGAAAACTACGGTCTGCTGAAAAAAAAACATTAAAATTATTTGTTCATGGGTTGGCTCAAGTGCTTCTGAAGTTCATTATTTTTTTATTTCTTGTGGTTTGCCTCAACAGCCAGGCCTACGAGGGCTGCTACAGCCCACAAACCCCCTTGGCTGGGTAATGCTTCTCCCGGGACCCCAGCTCCGGGCATTCAGATGCCATGGCCAGCAGTATTTTGCTGCGGTTTGAAGCACTGGTGGTGGGTTTGCTTGGGAAAGGTGACTGCTGGGTTAGCCCACCCTATGGCAAACGCTTTCCTGCCCTTCCCCACAGCACCCCTGGATTCAGGGGCACATATTTTACGGGGTCGCATCCTGCCCATGCCAGCATGAGGTGATGGAGGGCCGAGTCTCTCCTAGCAGTAAGAAATACCGATCAAAGCTTTGCTTGCAGTGCCTTGGCTCTTCAATACACCCCACCCCGTCCCAGAACCAGGGGCCCCAGCTGACATGTTTTAACACCAACCGCTTTTCCTCTTTCTACGAGCCAAAACCATGGTATTTAGGTGCCCACTCCCATCGCCCCGAGGGCAGAGCCCAGCACCCTGGCCGAACCCCGATGCCGTGAGGGCCGATGGCTTTGCACATCCCAAACACCTCCAGACTCAGTTGCTTTATCCCTGACACACAAATCCTCCTACCACTGCTAAACACGCCCCAGCCCAGCAAACCGCTGTCCTGCTGCTGTCCCAGCTGGCTCGGGATGATGTCCCCAAAGGAGGTGGGGGGGGGACGGACCCGCAGCCCCACTCCTCCTGCTGCCACCCCCTCCCCTGCTCTGTGCCATGAACTGGGGGGTCCTGCACGGCATTAAGGCATCCATGAGATTTATTTCTAACCAGGCTCCCTGCAGAGCTAATCCAGCCTGGACCACAGACAGGGAAAGACAACAAAACACACACAAAGGATGGAAAAAGGGTCCCTGAGAGCAGTCAGGCTCCCGGCCACCCCGGGGGTACCAGCCCTTGCTGGGGACAGTGGTGCCCTGGGATGCGTATGCAACACTGGGCTGTGAAGGAGGATGCCCCGGAGGGGGAGAGGTGGCCCCAATATTGGGTAGGTGCCTCCTTTGCCAGGACCTGCTGCCTCCAGGGCCGGGGGTGCAGCGGGAGCAGAGGGGGGGCAATGCCCGGGGAGGGGTGGGGGGCTGCGGGACGCTCCCGAGGTGACACGGGGCTCGGAAGCTAAGGGGAGAGGGTGTCCCGCGAGGAGTGGGGTGTCAGAGAGGTTCCCCGCAGGCACACGAGGAGAAAGAAGGAGCGGGGGGGGGCTGTCCTGCGTGGGCAGAGCTGCCGGGGGGGGGGGGGGGGGGGGTGGAGGCGCATCCCCAGCGAAGCCGCCCTTCCCCCTCCTATCCTCCCGCTCCCAACCCCCGTGCCCCCCCTCCCGCCCCCCCATCCCCGCACCCCTCCCGCCGCTGCCCCCGCCCCCCCGCCCCGCTCCGGCTTTTTCCCTTCCCCTTCCCCTTCCCTTCCCCTTCCGCGCCGCACCGTTGCCTGCCGGGACGCGTAGTTCCGCGGCCCCTCGCCGCTCCCGGCCCGCCCCAGGTCCGTTCCCGTTCCCGTTCCCGTTCCCGTTCCCGTTCCCGTTCCCGTTCCCGTTCCCGTTCCCGCTCCGCGCCCCTCTCCGCGTTCCCCCCCCCCCCCCCCCCCCTCCCCGTTCCCCGCTCCGCTCCGCCTGTTGCTCCGCTCCCCCCCCCCCGCTCCCCCGTTCCGCCTGTTGCTCCGCGCTCCCGTCCCAGCTCCGCGCCCGGTCCCGCGGGGAGTTTGGGGGGGTGGGTGGAGAGGGGGGTGTCGCCCCCGGAGAGGGGCTCAGCCCCGGTAGCAGACGCCGGTGTTAGCACCGGGATGAGCCGCGCTGTAATCCCGACGGGGCAGGCAGAGCCCTGCTGCCTGTACCCCCGCCTGTACCCCCCCTGCCTGTACCCCCTGCCCGAACCCCCCTGCCCGCACCTCCCCTGCCCGCCCCCAGCATCCTGGAGCCCCGGATTTGCTCTTTTGCGGTTTTCAACTGGATAATCTCCGTGGGACCGAGGCGTGGGGGAAGCGGGGCTGGAGAATGGCGCTGGGAGTTTAAAGGGGGGGGTGGGGGGGTGGGCTGGGTCCTCCGGAGTTTGGGGGGAACTTTAAAAGTATCCGTGGGCTTCCCAAGTGGGGAGGTGGGTGGCCCCTCACAGCACTGCTTTGAACCCGGGGTGTAAAGTCCATCCAGGGCACCCGACCCGCTGCCAGACAAAGGGTTTGGGTCCCGTACCCCATCGCTGGCCCACCAGTGTCCCCATTCCCGGGGTCACCCGTGTGGTTTGGGTACAGGGTTCCCTGTCTAGGCGTAAGTTGGGGTTCGGGATGGGTCTTGTGGGTGGGGGCGGAGGGGACAGTGTGGGCCAAGCTGGAGCACCCCGTACGCTCCTCCCTCCCGGCCTTTGCCTCGGCCGGGCCCCTCCGCCGCAGCCGCCGGGCTCCCCAGCTGTGCTCCGCACCCCACGCCAGCTCCCCGGGGCTGCCACCCCAACCTGCTCCCCGCAGGACCCCCCTCTGCCCGGTGTTGCCCCCCGGTCCCGGTGAGCGATGGAGGGAGATGCCACGCTGCAGCTCCGCGTCTTCGACCTCAACTGCTGGTGAGTGCAGAGTTCGCCGGGCAGCACGGGGTGTCCTTGGGGACACCTTCCTGTCCCCTTTGTTTTGGGGGCACACCGCTCTCCCACCCCCAGAGGGTCACAAGGCGCTTGGCTGGATAGAGCCCTTTGTCCCCTCCGTGCCTGATCCCCCCAGAAAAGAGCCCTCCATCCAGGGATGAGTTGCTTTGACTGTGCAGGAAGGAAAAACTGTCCCCAAACAGCCTCCCCGCACATCCCTCTTGTCCCCACGTCCCCACATGGCCCTTTCCCCCTCCCCTCCCACCTCCCCCAGTCTGCATCCTGCCCATGCCAGTACAGGAACCCTCTCTCCTCTATTTCGTGTCCCAGTGTGCCCCGTCCCCCCCCATCACCCCGTCCCCCCCCCAAGTTGTGACCACCCCCCCCCCCCTCCGGCAGGGCCATCCGCTACCTGAGCAAGCGGCGACAGGAGCGTGTCCGGCTCATCGGGGACATGCTGCGCCGGGAGGGCTTCGACCTGGTGCTTCTCCAGGAGGTGAGGGCAGCCTGGGAGATGAGCATGCCTGTTCTCAGCCCGTGAGATGAGCGTGCCCGTTCTCAGCCTGTGAACTGAGTGTGCCTGTTCTCAACCCATGAGATGAACATGCCCGTTCTCAGCCTGTGAACTGAGTGTGCCCATTCTCGACCCGTGAAATGAGTGTGCCCATTCTCAGCCCAAGAGATAAGCGTGCCCATTCTCAGCCTGTGAACTGAGTGTGCCCGTTCTCAATGCATGAGATGAGCGTGCCCGTTCTCAGCCTGTGAACTGAGTGTGCCCATTCGCAGCCCATGAGATGAGCGTGCTTGTTCTCAACCCGTGATATGAGCATGCCTGTTCTCAGCCCATGAGATGAGTGTACCCATTCTCAGGCCATGAGATGAATATGCCTGTTCTCAGCCCGTGTGATGAGTGTACCTGTTCTCAGCCCGTGTGATGAGTGTACCTGTTCTCAGCCCGTGAGATGAGTGTACCCATTCTCAGCCTGTGAGATGAGTGTGCCTGTTCTCAGCCCATGAAATGAGCGTGCCCGTTCTCAGCCTGTCCCACTGTTCTCCAGGTGTGGAGTGAGCAGGACTACAGTGACCTGAAGGCGAAGCTGCGAGGCTGCTATCCCTTCTCCCACTACTTCCGCAGGTGAGAGGGGCCAGGCCAGCCCCCCCGGGGCAGTGGCAGGGCTGTGCCACGTCCTCGGTCTTTACCACATGGAGAGACCGGTGTGGGTGCTGTAGGTCACCCCTGTCACCGTGGGAGACCCCATGCCTGGAGAGCAGGATGCTCACGGGAGCACACTGGGATCCAGGCATCTGGGGAGCCCCCCTTGCTCAGGGCTGGGGGGAGGCAGATGTAGGGGGGGGTCCCACGCTTCCTCACTGTGCTTTTCCCCTCCTGCAGTGGGGTCATCGGCAGTGGCCTCTGCGTCTTCTCCAGGTTCCCCATCCTGGACACCCTCCTCTACCAGTACTCGCTGAATGGGTACCCCTACATGGTGAGCGGGGCGGGGGGCACACAGCACCCCAGTGCCCGGCCCCACGGAGCCTCACGGGCCCCGACCTGCTCCCCTTCCCCTCCGGCAGCTCCAGCACGGGGACTGGTTCTGCGGCAAGTCCGTTGGCCTCGTCGTCATTAAGATCTCTGGGATTGTCTTCAACGTTTATGTCACCCACGTGAGCTCCCGGGGGAAGGACCTGGCATGGGGGGGGGACGATGGGGAGGAGGGGGACAAGTGGCCGTACCCCTCCTTCACTGTCCTCTCACTTTAACCACTCCTCTGCACCATCTCTATTGGGACTATGCACTGATTTAACGAAATATTGATCTGGAAGGGGGGCTGGGACCTACAACCTGGCTGTGCAGCAGCGTGAGCATCCCAGGCGGTCCCCAGGTGGGGTGAGATGGAGACAGAGGGGTCAGCCAGACCCCAAAGGGGCTGTCTAGAGGGGCTGGGTGAGTTTGCAGGGAGCCTAGGAGCAGGGCAGGTGCCACCATGGGGGTCACGGCTGCTTTGTCGTCCCCCCCCGCTTTCACCAGCTGCACGCCGAGTACTGCCGGGAGAAGGACGCCTACCTGCCCCACCGCCTGGTGCAGGCCTGGGAGCTGGCGCAGTTCATCCGGTGAGTAGCCGTGGGGTGTCCCACGGGGTCCCCCCGCTACAGGTCCCCGGGGTGCGTACGGTCACCCCTACCCCTGGGGCTTGCACTGCAGAGGGCTCCCAATTGCACCAGTCCCAGTCAGGAGTAAGGCTGGGAAGCACTGGGAGGGGGGTTCCCAGTGGCCCCAATCCGGTGCAGGGAAGGGGGGGGGGGTGTGTGTGTTAGCTGTCCCTGTCCCCACAGACACACCTCGAAGGCGGCTGACGTGGTGCTGCTGGGAGGGGACCTGAACATGCACCCCGAAGACGTGGGCATCCGGCTGCTGCGCGGCTGGACGGGGCTGCGGGACGCCTTTGCCGAGGCCGCGCGCTTCGAGGTGAGCGGCAGAGCGTGAAGGGGGGGGGTGCCGGGGCACACCGAGAGCCCCCCCACCCACCCACCCACCCGGGTGCTTGGTCTCAGGGCTGCGAGGACGGCTGCACTCTCGTCCCCAACAACTGCTTCACCGTCAAGACGGAGCTGCTGCCTTTCCCGCTGGGCATCCGCATCGACTACATCCTCTACAAGGTAACGGAGGGTGGGGGGGGCCCTTGGCCACCGGCTGTGGGTGGCAGGGTTGGGGGGGGGAGGAAGGCACCAGCCTGACCCCCACCCTGTCCCCTCGCCCAGGCCACCTCCAGCTTCACCGTAAAGTGCGAAGAGCTGAAGACAACCACAGGGACAGCCCCGGGCGTGGACATCCCCTTCTCGGACCACGAAGCCGTGATGGCAACGCTGCACATCCGGAGGCAGGGACACGCTGCGGGTGCCACCGCTGGCACAGCTGGTAAGGCCGGGGGGGGGGGGTGGTGGGGGTGCCGCCGGGGTCCCCCATGTGCCGGCGGGGCTGGTGGATGGTCTGACGGAGTTTTTGAGGATGTTTCCCCTTTCTTAGGGCGTCCCTTGGGGCGCTGCTTGTGAAGGGGTGGGTGGACAGGGCAGAGCGGTGGGGAGGGGGAGAAAAAGGGGTACGAGGAGGGGGTCCCACCCTGCTGAGCTGCCCCCTGTCGTTGTGTGCCACCCCCCCCCCCCCCGCCCTGCTCCCAGAGCTGACGCTGGCAGACGTGGTGACGGAGGCGCGGACGGAGGTGGACGTGGGGCTGCGGGCAGCGCGGCGGCAGCGTTACTCCACGGGCAGGATGGCCGTGCTGGCCCTGCTGCTGCTGCTGCTGCAGGCCACGGCAGCGCTGGGCGCGCTGGCAGGGCTGGCAGCCGGGCAGCCCTTCCCCAAGCTCTCCTTCTCCCTCCTGGCCTTCCTCGCCATCGGCGTCCTCCTCCTCGCCACCGGCCTCCACCTCTTCCACACCATCGAGGTGAAGATGCTGCAGGGCACCGAGGAGCAGATGCGGATGGCGCTGCGGGCGCTGCAGGAGCGTCCCAGCGACGGCTGAGCCGGGGCTGTGGGTGACCCCCAACGTCCCCCCGGCCCCATCCTGACCCCTTTTGGTCCCTTTTTCTAGTTGACTTCTAGTTTTAGGCCAGCAGCGCTGGTTCGACAGCCGCCTCTCTGGGTGAAATTAAGATTTTGGGGGCACACGTATTGCATTGACCCCTGTGGGAACCACAGTGGAGGCGGTTTTTAATTGCTGTTTTTTTAAATACACTTTTCTACCTGGAGGGACTCGCTGGCGTGGCCAGGAGGCTCAAGAGGCTCAGCCTCCCCTTGCCTGGGCGGCCTTGGGGGCTCCTGGTGAAAGGTGGCAACTACTCTGGCAATCAGATTTGACTCAGAGAGAAAAATAAAGGTGGTATTTTAGCCCTTGGTGCCGGGTCAGGGAGGCTTTATTCAAAGGGTTGGGGGGTTGCAGCAGGATAGTAGGGCTGGTACAAACACAAGGCAGATGGAAGAGATTGGGGGGGCTCTGAAGGGAGGGGCAGGATGAGGGCTGAATGTCGGGAGGTATCGCTACCAGACCCCCGTGCATGACATGACTGGGGCTGCCGTAAACACCATTTGGCCACGGAGGCCACCCCGCAACAACCGGGGACCCCGCGAAGGTCTGAGAGGTCTGTGTAAAGGCCAGCGTGGCACTGCCAAGCAGGAGAAACCCCAAAGGGGCGAGGAGGACATGGCTGCTGGTGTCCCTTGTCCTTGATGTCACGCAGTGCCTGCTCTGGCACAATTCCCTTGGGGAGCTGATGGACAAAAATCCTCTTTCCTGGCCCTGGGGCCTTGCAGGGGCGTTGCTGACCCTGGTTTCCTGCAGCGGCCAGGGACAGAGTGGTTGTGGCACCCAAAAGTGATGCAGTGGCGGGATGAGCCCAGTCTGTCGCTGGCCCCATTTGTAGAGCCAGATGTCCCTGGCTGGGATGGATGTCCCTGGAAGAGATGGCTCTCCCTGGCTGGGATGGATGTCCCCAGCTGGGATGGATGTCCCAGGCTGCAATGGACATGCTGGGTTAGGATGGGTGTCCCAGGCCAGGCTGGATGTCCCCCAACTGGGAAGGACATCCTGGGGTGGCTTCCAGGGGCTACTCCTGACACTGCCCCTCCACATTTGGCATCTCCACCGTGACCTGCCTGTGGTGGCTGCAGTCACATCCCCGCTGCCGGGAGCGAAGCCCTCCGGGGCTGGACAGGTAGCGACGAGGCACCAATCCTGCCGGGAGCCTGGCCTGAGGCAGCCAGCGGTGCAGCTCGAGCACGAGGGGCTCTGCCAAGCAAAACACTTTCAATGCCCCAACCAAGCGTCCCCTCGAAGCAGGGATGGCTGTGGGACCTCCTGCACCGGGTGAGACCCCCACTTCCCCGTGGGGCTTCTTCCTCCCGCAGCAAACCCCGGGCAGAGCCACCGCAGCCCCCGCGTTTCGTGGCCCCCTGCAAATCTTGTTTTCAAGCAAGCACAAGGCAAAGGCAATCCAGCCAAGCGTGGGGGGGTGCCCTCTCTGCACCCCAAAGCCGGGGCACTCCTCGGTGTCTCCCCACACGGGTGTCCACCAGTGGGTCCAGCCCTTCCACGGCAGGCTTTGGCAAGCAGGGAGCTGGATTCGCTGCGGCAGCTTCTGTGCCTGCGGGCAGCTCAGGCATCACCACCTTCAGAGGCAGCTCAGGGTGATGCTCAGCTCGGGGTCGGGGGACACACACTGGTTGTCCCCCCGCCCAGGGGGGGACCCGGTGGGTCCTGGGGCCGGCGCGGATCAGGCCCGCAGCTCGCTGAGCCGCTTCTCCTCCTGGATGTGGATGAGCATGTTGCGCTTGTCCACCACGTCCACCAGCTGCGCCAGGATCTCCTTCTCGGTTGCGTGATCCTCAGGTGTCTTCAGGGATTCTGTGGGAGCAGGGGGGATGGAGCAGGGCTGGGTGGGCCACAACCCCGGCCCCGCTCCCCTCACCATGCACAGGGACCCCCCCCGGCACATGCTGGCACTCACCCTCCCTGTTCATGTAGCACCGGAGCTTCTGGTCAAGCTGTCCCTGCTGCTCCTCCAGCTTCAGCTCCTGCACCCTGTGGGGAGGGAAGGGGGGTGCTGGGTGCTGGGCTTGGGGTGAACCGAGCCCCCACGCTGACCGGGGAGCATCCCCCTCCAAGCCTTACATGATCATGAGGTCTGACTCCTCAGACATCAGGCTGTTCTTCTTCTGGACCAGGTGCAGCAGCTGGTTCATCCACTGTGTCTTCAGGTCGGCCGGGGTGCCTGCGGGGCAGGGGAGAGGGGGTGAGTGGGGTGCAGACCTCGGGGACCATTGGTGCCTTCTCCTCCCTGGCCTTACCGGCCTCGTCCCGGAGTAACTTCTCCAGCCTGATGCCCTGCTTCTCCAGCTCCCGGAACGTCACCTCGATCTCCTCCAGCCGCCTCTGGATGGCCTGCGAGGGAAGGGCAGGACTCACCCGCTGGCCAGCACCTCTGGCACGTGGCCACCGGCAGCGGGACGGAGGGGGCGGAGGTGCCAGGCTGAGGACCCGGCTCTCCCCCATGGGGCTACCTGGGCTTTGCAGAACCGCTTCATCTGGGCTTCCCTGGCCCGGCGGGTCAGCGTGCGCTTCCAGGTGGGGTATTTCTCCTCTTCCCCCAGGTCCAGGCCCTGTGAAGGGACGGTGGCAAGGGCAGGGGGGTCAGTCCCTGTGCCAGGCACCTCCTGCCCCGGCAGAGCCAGACCCGATGCCTCTGTGAGAGGAGACACCAGCAAGAGCCTGGACCATCACCCGGGCTGGTGGGGCCACTGCTGCTCGGGGAAAGCACTCACCAACTCTGCCATGATGCCAAGGTCTGTGCCTTCCTCCTCTCCTGCCTCCTCCTCTTTCTCGCTGTCGCTCCCCTCCAAAGCTGCCCCAAGAAAAGAGCCATTTCAGGCCGGTGCCTCATGAGCAAGATGTGAGGCATGGCGATATACCCAGAGCCCTGCTTGGCCAGAGACTCCAGCTTGTAGCCACCTACCTTCCTCCACGGCTGTTTCCTCCTCCTCCTCCTCCTCCTCCTCCTCCTCCTCCTCCTCCTCCCAGGTGTCTTGTCCCTGCCACTGGGCAGGGAGGGTCTTGGGTGCTGCTTGGAGCCACAGGCGAGCCGGCTTTGGCGGCGGCTTGGCCTCTGCTTCACTGGTGAGGTTCAGCGTGGACAGCTTGAGCTTCTCCAGCGGCGTGAGGACGATCTTCCTCCTGCCCCCGCTCTCCTCACCCTCCTCTGCTGACCCTTGGGGCTCCACTCCAGGACCCTCCTCCTCCCTTGCATCCTCCTCGGGTTGCGCCAGCGGCTCGTGTTCCTCCATGTCACCAGCATCCGCAGCATCCTCCGCTGCCCCAGGCTCTCCCCCCGGCTGTGGGGCTGCTGGTGGGGGCTGCAGGGGACTGGGTGCCCCCTCCTTGAGGGCCACACATGGGCTCCCAGCATCTGAGGGTGGGTGGGTGGCAGCAGCATCCTAGGGCAGAGCCGGAGGTGGAAGGGTGATGCAGAACGGGGCCGTGCCCGAGCATCCCCCTCCACTTTCGGCCCTTCCTCCATCATCTACGAGGATTTATGGCGACTTACCCCATCGGGCAGCGCCGGGGGCTCATCCTGGGGCAGATCCATGCCGGGTGGATTGGGGTAGTGAAGCGAACAGTAAAAATGACCTGGAGAAGGGGAGGGGGGTGGTGGTGGTGGTGAAAAACCCATGTGACGACCTGCAAGGTGGAGCAACCTTGCCCCGAGCATCCCCCTTTCCCCAAAACCCTCCTCCTCACCGTCCTCCTCGTCGAAGGCGTAGTCGCCCAGGCGCAGGGTGGCCCCGCACCGCCGGCACTGGAAGCAGCCGCGGTGGAAGAAGCGTCCCTCGGCGCTGGCTCGCTCCAGGATGTAGACGCGGCGGCCGCAGAAGTAGCAGGCGTCGCTGCTCTCCCCGCGGGCCGGTGGCTGCTGGGGGGGGGGGCGGGGGGGGGAAGAAAACAAACTGGGGTGGCACCAAGGTGCTGGCACCCACCCTGCCCCAGGGCTTTGCGGGCAGCCCAGGGGGTTCAGGGTGGTGGTGGTGGTGGGGATTTGCCCCTCTCGCAGAAGTGGGTCTGGGTGCTCAGGATGGGTTTGCTGGCACCAGCAAGGGAGCGGCAGGTCTTGGCTCTGGAAAACCAGTTGGATCAGGAAACAGGCAGGGAGGAGCTGGGAGCCCGTGGGCGTTCGCTTGCTCAGCCTTAGTCCCAGCCCTTGGCTCGGCCCCACCAGCCACCAGTGCCCCTCTCCACCCCCCAAAAGTGCCCACCCACGCAGAGCTGGGCACCCCCAACCCTGGGCGGGGGGACACACAAAAACCGACCTGCCCTGGGTCCGTGGTGGCACTTTGTGGCGGCTTGTGGGCACCGTCCAGAGTGTCTCCATCCAGCCCCACGTCCAGCTACGAGCAACCCGAGGGGAGGGTCAGCCCCCCACTCTCCCCCTGGGTCGGCTGCACCCCGGCACGGGGTTGCACCCAGGGCAGACCCACCTCAGCCTCCCTGCAGCTCCTCTTGGCCTCAGCATCCTTCTGGGCACTGTCCTGCAAAGGCAAAGGGGGTGGTTAGGACGGGGAGGCGGGGAATGGTTTAGGGGTGTCGCGAGGGTCTGGGTGGGGGGTCCCTCACCTGGGCACGCTTGTGTGTCACATTCCGGCTCTTCTGCAGCTTGCTGAGGAAGAGGATGGCCCCTCGCGTGCCGCGGGGTGACAGCGGCTTCTTGCTGACCTCCTCCGCCTCTGCACGGAGGGGACACGGCCATGCTGGTGGGATGCACCCTACAAAGCGGGGGGGCACCCACCCAGCCCCGGTGAGGCTTGGGATGGGACAAAACCCCCTAAAATCTCTCACCTGGAGAGGTCTTGAAAGCTTCGTAAAACTGGCTGAGGTAGGTGATGAGCCCCAGGCGGTCGGGCTCTGCCATGGTGGCCATCTCGGCACTGGAGAGGACGGGCTGGATGCCCAGCTCCTGCTCCGCCGTGTCCAGCATCATCTGGTGGGTCTGGATGGGATCCTGGGGGTCCACAGAGTCAAAGTCCCTGTGGGGAGACACGGGTGTCATCAGGGTGGGCTCTGGAGGGTAGCGGGGGGCTTGGGGTGGGGGGTTCCCAGGCACTCACACCAGGTCAGGGCGAAAGCGGTGGACAAGGGCGCAGAGGGCCAAGCCGCTGGTCCAGGAGGTGGTGAAGTTGGTCACTGCCACGCCACGGTACCCGGCTGTGCTGGCCTGGCACCATCTCAGCAGCTCTTCGTAGGCATCCCCGGACACCGCTGGGGAGGCAGCACACATGTCCCCATCCCAAAGAGGCAGGGGACAGCGCCCCCCCCCCCCTTCCTCCCCCCCCCAGCATCACTGCTTTAGGGGGAAAGGGGTCCCGTGGAGATCTCCGCCATGCAACCACCCTCCGCCAAGGCTCGATAAATGGGTTGATAGAGCTTCTGTCAATCTTTCACAGCTCAGCATCAGTGCAGGACAGAAAGAGGGGGACAGCCTCCCCCGGAAAAGGCAGCTGGGGGGGCTGCATCCCCATGGGGGCCACAGGCAGAAGGAACGGAAACCAGTGGTGCCACTGGGGTAGAAATGCAGCCGCTGCTGGGAGGAGCACAATGGCCAGCTGGACACCAGCCAGGGCTCAAGAAAAGAAGGATGGGGAGGAAAATCAGGGCAGGAGCCGCGCTGGCACGGGCTGCTGGGAGAAACGGGGGGTCCTGGTGCTGGGGGGGCTGGGGCAGGACTGGCTGCTCCTACCAGTGCTGAGCCGGTTGTCGCTCTTCCTCTTGTGGTCCACCTCCACCATGCCCACGAGGTAGAGATCCCGGACCTGCCAATGGGGACGTCTCAGTGACAGGTCACCATCAGCACAGAACCAGTGACACCACACAGGGAGGCTGACCCCAGCATGGGGAACCCCCCCACGCCTCCCCAGAACCACCCGCATCTGCGATGGGCGATGCATTCAAATGTTCTGGGGACCAACAGCTTCATCCTCGCACCCTTTGGGGGATGGGGGACTGTGCAAATTGGTGTCATCCTGCCTGCTGGGATGGCTGGGCAGGACCTGGGCTGAGTACCTGGCTGGCTTTGATGGCCTGCAGGTTGATGTTGGGGTAGCGCGTGGCCGGGTCGATGCTGTACTGGCTGATGTTCTTGTTGGTGTTGTCTGGGGAGGTCTGCGAGAGGTGCTGGTAGATGCTCTCCCTGGGTGCAAGGGACAGGGTTGGGCTCAGTGCCACCATCCTCACCCGCTCGGAACCAGCCCAGTGGGACGGGGGGACACTCACCTCTCGGCCAGCACCTCCAGTGGGGGGGTCCCGGCCGCCCACCGCCGCACCATCCACGCCGCGTCGAAGGCGGCGAGGAAGCCCCTGGCCACGCCGGTGCCCAGCGGCCAGAAGGGCTGCGAAGGGAAAAGCAGAGAGAGATGGAGCTGGAGCCACGGGGCCGGTCGGGACGGCTGGGAGGAGGCTGGGAGCTGCTGGGCTTGGCCGGGGATGAAAGCAGGGAGCGGCAGCGGGACGCGCAGGGTGAGGATGAGCAGCCATCTCCTCCTCCTCCCCAGCCGGTACGGCTGCGTGCGGGGAGGATCTGGGCTGCTCCTCCACCCCGAACCAACCCTGGATCTTTGGTGGGGCCAGGGAAGGGGATAACCCCCACCAAACCATCCCGCTACTGGGCCCTGGGGAGCCTGCCCCCGAGGATGGGGTGCGCTGGGCAGTTGGGGCAAGAAGCGCTTAGGGAGGGGGGATATATTGCAACCAAAGCGTCTTGCAGGGAGAGGGGAAACTGAGGCAACACAGTGGTGCTGCAAGGGGGGGCCTCACCTCCACCAAGCAGTCGCCCACCAGCCCGAGGAGCAGACGGGCCCCGTTGTGCTCCCGCACCAGCGCTGCGTTCTCCGAGCGTGTCATGCAGGTGAAGTCAAACATGTCGACGTCCGGCAGGTCCCGGTGGTTGAGGGCAAACTCCAGTTCGGGCAGGCGGTAGTTGGTGGAGAAGTTGGCGGCTTCTTTGGCGTAGCTGAGGAGGGCGTCCCGGTTCACGTTCTCCGGGGACAGGAGGCTCTCGATGTCCGCTTTGTCCTGCGGGGATGGGGTGAAGCTGGCCAGGGTGCGGGAGGTGGGGTTTGCCCCCCCACCCTGGGTGCAGCCAGTTCTGGGGTGAAGCCGTGCCACTGCGTGTGGGGCTGTGAGTCCCCCAAAAGGATTTTCCCCCCAGCACAGGCTGCCAAACCCCCCACCATCCCAGGGGTGCACGGTCAAACCAGCACCCATTTGCATCCCACCCTCCAGGCTTTCAGCCACCCATCACTATGGGATCCCAGGGCCCGATCCTGCCCTGCTCACCTGAAGGATGACCCCTTTCTTGAGCAGGCTCTGCTTCTTGGCCGTCATGACAAAATAGTGAGTGTCGTCCTTGTAGTAGACGATGTTTTCCAGGTCGATGCCTGGTGATAGGGAAGGGGCTGAGCTGAGCCATGGGGCAGAGCCCCCGCACTGGGCTCAGCCACCGAATGTCCCCTGCAATGAGGTACCACGTGGGGACACACATCCCATCGCACAGGGGACGTCCCGGGGCTGAGCCTCCAGTTGCGCCAGGAGGGGACAAGGACCCCCGGCACCCGCCATGCGAGGGCCGGGACCACCGACCCGTTTTGTTGTAGAGGTTTTGGAAGAACTTCTGGTTGTAGATTCGGGCCACGCCGCTGATCTCCGCCACCTCCACCTCGGCCCGGCTGTGGCGGTTGATGAAGTTGGTGGTGATGCCGATGGCCAACTTCCCCCGCGTCTCCTTCCGCTTGAACCCTGCGCGATGGGAGAAGCGTAAGCCCCCATCCCGCCCTCCCCATACCGGTCCTGGGGGCGCGGGGACCCTCTGCTGTCACCTTCGGGGACAAATTTGCCGCCGCCGGCTGAGATGAGGACGTCAAAGTCATAGTGGCTGAGGGGAGAGGATCCGGGCTGCAGCACAGCCCGCCAGCCGCCTGCGGGGAGAGGGACGGTCACGAGCGTGCTGGGTCTCAGCTGGAACCTGCTCCGGGGTGGGGGAGACAGTTGCATCTCATCCCCTCCCCCCCCAAAAAAAAGGGCAAGGCCTGGGCTAACTAGGACTGAGGGGCTCAGCCCTGTCCTTGTCCCCGGGGATGCCACCTACCCCACGGCAATACCTTACCCTGTCCGCCTGCCTTGCTCGTGGGGGGGACGAGACCCTTGAACTGCACTTTGATGTGCACCTCCACCCCCAGGAGCAGAGCCACCTTCAGCAGGATCAGCTGGAGCTGCCGGATACCTGGGAGGGGAGAAGGGACGTTCAGGGCTGCACCCCTAGGTCCCTGGGCTCCCCACAGAGCAGGGACCCCGGGGGTGCAGAGCTTGCCCCCCCTCCTTCCCCCGAAACTCACTGATGTGGTCCAATGTGCCGGTGCAGAAGCGCCCGTAAAACTTCTTGGCACCCAGCGCCCGCAGGTCGTGGATGGTGAAGGGCCAGAGGTGCAGGACGTTGTTGCGGGAGAAGGAGTCCCGCTTCTCCAGCAGCACCACGCGCGCGCCCAGCAGCACCAGTTCGATGGCCGCCCGCAGCCCGCATGGGCCGGCCCCCACCACCAGGCACTGTGAAGGGAATGGGCACCCCCCCACCAGGAAAAAAAACTGAGTAAATCCCACAGGCAGCATCTCCCCCCCCTTCCCCAGGGCAGGATCTGGCCCTCCCCGTTACTCCCCTTTTCCCACGGGCTACAAGCACTGCTTCTCCTTGCAAAGTTGGGGGGCCCTGTGGGGTGCCCCCCGCCTCCCCCAGCTGCCTGGACCTTGCCTCTGCACAGGGCAATGGCAGCAATTAAAGTGCTCAGCGAGATAAGGCACGCACGTCTCCTGCCTGCTGCAGCCTGGGAAAGGAGAGATTTCACCAGCCACGGGCTCAAAACCACGACTTGGGTTTGATCTCCTGCCAGCCCCTGCACAGGGCTGGGGGGACAATGGGGCACCAGCAGTGGGGACAAGAGCCATCAGCTCTGGAACAGGGGGACAGAAAGAGGGTCCCCCAACCCCATGGGGACATCCTAACCCCGCATGTTTCTGTTTCCCAGAAAGGGCCCAGTAAGTCCCTCTGCCCCGTGGGATGTCCCCAGTGAGGTGCAGAGGGGGAAGGACCCGCTGGCTGGGTGGCACTGAGGTGGCATCACGCCACAGGGAGGGGAGTGGCACCAATTAACACCCTGTCCCATTAAACCCCATCAACCTCCCGCCTGACACATCCCACATCCTCCTGGGTGGGGGGTGAGGGTGCCCCAAGGGATGTTCTCACCCCGGCGACAAGGACGCAGGGCGAGGAGGGACCCAAACCCCACACCCCATGTCCTCGGTACCTTGGTGCCAGCACAGGCTGTGCCTTGGTCGTAGTCCTTGTGCCCGGCTTTCTTATCCAGCTTGCTCCACAGGGCCTTGGCACTCCAGTAGTTGAGGGCAGCCTTGAGGCCGTGGTAGAGCTGCAGCCCACCGCCCTGCAGCCCCAGGCACTGGCACAGCTCCCCGAAGCAGCCCAGCACCTCCCGGCACTCCCCGGCACGCAGGAACCTCTCAAAGATGGCATGGGCTGGGTTGCCCGGTTCGTCGGCCGGCACGCTCATCTTGCTTCACCCAGCAGCCTGGTGAAAACCAGCAGAAATAAGTTGGGACACACACACACACACACACACAGAGGTCCCTCCTGGACCCCCATCCTCAAACCCATCCAGTACCAGACCTGGTGTCTGAGCGTGACGTTTCCCAGCCTGGGGTGCTGTTGGGTGATGGTGCTGCTAAAATCAGGGCCCTTTCCGGCAGCAGCTGGCAGAGCCTTTCCCGGGTGCTGCACCCAGCGAGCCACAGTGTCACCCTGCCGCGGTGACGTCAGGGGAGGGGATGGGGAGGGCTGTGGTGGCACAAAGTGGCTTCCTCCATACGGCGTGTACCTGCAGTAGCCGAGAGCAGAGCGAGGTGGTTTGGAGCAAAGACGTCGCTTCCTTCCTCTTCACCCTTTGGCTTCGCTGGGGGAGGGATGAGGAGGGAGGTCACGGCCACAGGGACAAACTGCAGCTGCCCCGAAAACCAGCAAAACCCAGCCCTGGGACAGGAGGGAGCAAGACTGGACCCATCCCGCCAGCCTGGTTTTTGCAACCGGAGTGGGGCGACTTTCCCACCCCCCACCTCTGCCTCTGCCACCCCCGGAGCGAGGCGGAAGCAGATTAGCACAGAGGAAGCACCAGTGGGGCAACCAAAATAAAGCTAAACCACCATACAAATGGCCCCGTCACACCAGGGAACCTGCAGGAGGACGGGTGCAGTGCGCCACCAAAATCCCCCCACCCCTGGGGTCTCCCAGGAGATCAGCACTCCTTCCATCCTCCTCCCGTGCCTGACACCGTCCCCCCAGCACCGTCCCCTGCCACCCTGTCTTGCCAGCCCCAGGATGAAGCACAAAGCTTTCCCCTTTCCACAAGCCCTGGGGGTGGGAAAGCCTCCCCCAGCCCCGCAAAGCAGCCGGCGGAGTCGCGGCGCTGCCGAGGAGGAACTGGTGGAAAAGCTCAGGGAACGGGAGCGTTCAAAAACCTTTGAACCATCGCTCTTTGCCCTCTCGCCGCGCGGCGTTACCAGCGGGTACCCGGCAGCACCCCGAAGGTGGCAGCCAGCCCAGTGGGATGCCGGAGGGGGAGCATCCGAACTACACTGCCCTCAGTGGGATGAGGGAAAGGAGGTGTTTAAGCCTGGGCTTAAATTTAGGCTGGAAAACCCAAATTCTAGCTGGGTTTCAAGTTCAGGCTCGCTCCAGCAGCTTCCTGACACCCACACGAGATTTGCAAGGCCAGCTGGAGCCATGGAGGATGCAAAGCACTTCTGTAGGTCACCTTCCCTCCCCAGCATCACAGCCAGAAAATCCTGGCATTTTAACCTCTTCCTTCCTGGGCACAAGGATAAAGCATCCAGCCAGACCGGAGAAGGAGCAGTCACCCACCGGTCCCCAAAGTGGACAGAGGGACCTGGGGACAGAGGACATGACTGATGCATTCATGGCAGGGCTGTGAGACCCAGGAGCAGATTTCTGCTCTTCCCCTGAGCGCTGCCAGCCCTTCGGCCCTGCCAGCGGGACGGAATGAGCCTGGGGAAACTGAGGCAGCACTGCAAACCTCACCGGAGAGTGCAGGCATGCTGTCCCACCAGCCGCCCATCCTCCTCCTGTGTGAGGCTGCCCAGGCAGCCGTGCTGGCTGGCCGGGCTCCAGTGCCTCACGCTGCCCGGGCACGATGGGTTTTCCCCTGGGAGCTCACGTTACTGCACCCGGCGCCTGCCAAGGCCACCACGCAGCAGCCCCAGGGCGATGGGGCAAAGGCCTGGGCTGGGAGCATCCACTCCAGCATCACCAGCCTCTGGCTCTGAAAAAAAAAAAAAAAAATCTCAAGGCCTCAATTCCCCCTGGACATGGTGCTGGGGGGAGCATGCTGCCCAGGAAAGCTTTCCAGCCCCAGTGCTTTGGCAGAGAGGCTTGGAAGAGGCAGAACAACAAGCCTTGTGTTACACCAAGTTTCCTACAGGAACGATGTTTGTGCCAGCACACTATGACCCCCTTGGCACTCTCGAACCCCCCCAACAATTGCAAGCAGGAACAGAATCCCCCAGAGATACTCAGTTCCTGCAGGTTTGATGCAAATGAACCGCTTTCTACCCACAAAGGCCAGTTCCAGTGAAGGAGGGCACAGTGCTGAGCCAGGCTGCCTCCGGATCTGCTCTCCCCATAAATGCCTTTTGCATTTCTTCCCTTTAAACGGTTCTGGTGAGCTGGAGGGAGGAGGTGGGGGGGGGGGGTGGGGGGGGTGCAGCCAGCCCTGACTCAGCTCATGATGGCTCTGGCTGAGGTGGCTGCAGACACGCCTGCGGGGACATCACCCGGGACCGCCACATGTGGAGCACCCCTGGAGCAGGGACACCCCATCCCGCTTCGCAAGTCTGGATCTCCCCTCCTGCCCTTGCAGGCGGGGGAGCAGCCCCTTGGGAGATGGCGGGGGGGAGCCCCCCGGGGGGTGCTGGGCTGCCCACCAGCTCACGTGTCTTCCAGGCACGTGGAAACAGGGTGGGAAAGGACACAACTCCATGTGGAGCTAATGAAAGCCAGGAGGATTTCAAGCAGCAGCAGATCCCTTTCCAGCCGAGCTTCTCGCCGTGCTGGCTCCCGGCATGTTTGGGATCCAGCCTGGAGACCACTGGGTTGGGCTGGACCCCAGGAAAATCCTTCCAGGATCTTCAGGGATGGCCCCAAACCCAACGGGCAGGATGGAGGGATTCTTGTGGCTGTCCAACAGCTTGGCTAAAGATCCTGCTTTTGACCACTGGCCGAACTGGGCCAGTGCTGGGAAGGGGTGAAGGCAGAGGGTGATGCTCTTCCCGGTGTTACTGTGCTCAGGAGAAACATCTCAGGTGTGGGAGCGGGCAGGGAGATTGCCTTGTCCCACTCCGTGGAAACCTGCCCTAATTTGGTCAGGTTTTAATCCTTCGAGAGGGGAAAAATCCCTCCTGGCTCCTCTGGTTTGAGCTGGGGATGTGGGTGCACGGGCACACCCCAGCTGAGCCCCCCCTCAGCGTGGAGCTGCGGGGGGAAGGGCTAAGGAGAGGGGACAAACCTGTCACCAGCACTGGTGAGGGGTGCTGGGATGGGGTGTTGTGGTGGAGGGGGTTCCCTTTCGAGGGTGCATAACTCCCCCCTGGAAAGCACATGCCAGAATTCCCCCTCAGATGTGCAGCACCCAGCCTTGGTCCTGCAGCCACCGGCAGCAGAAGCGGGCACTTCTCCGGGACATTTTGGCCTTGCCCTTTGCAGGGGATCCACAAGCCACAGCCCGGCCACATCCCAGGGAGCCCTGGGCAGAGACAACACTTGGGGAGGGAGCAAACCTGCCCCCCTATTTTGGCTGCTCAGCCTTGCCCTCCTGCTCAGCACCAGCCCCATGGAGGGGGGGGTGGGGGGGTGCCTGACTTTTGCAGCTGAATTTTGGTGCGAGAGGAAGTCTGCTCACGGCCAGGCTTCGCACCCCACATCCTTTTTCTCCTCCTGTTTCTGCTTCACCCCCAGCCACAGTTGTCCCCGCAGGGTCGACAGGAGACGTGTCCTGGGGGGACGGTGGTGAACCCCAGGATTGGTTACCCAAATGTACTGGGGGCTTCATCCACCCCCGGCACAGCCCCAGCCCCTCAGCCGGGGCTCGCTCCTGAACTGGGCTCTTCCCGCTCCATCCCACTCAGCAGTGGTGGTACTGGCAATGGAGTCGAGAAGGAGAAGCAGGGACAGCTCTCTTTTCCCTTTGTCCCAGGGGGAGCAGAGCCCAGGGGCTGGAGGAGAAAAAGCAGCGAGGATGGGGCAGGGGGACCCCGTTGCCCCCCCCGGGAGAGGCTTTGGGGAGGGGGAGCCGGAGACAAAGCGCTACCCTGCCACCGAGCATCCCCACTCGGCATCCCGAGGACACGCAGGACACGGGCACAGCGGGGCAGAACGCCAACCCCCTCCAGCACCCCAAAACTCACCCCTCCGTTCTGACAATCCCCTCCCCCCCCCCCCCCCCCCCATCCCCAGCTTGTGCAGCAGGGCGGGGGCCCGGCGCGCTGCTCGCTGCGGGCTGGGGGGGGGGGGGACCGGCCGGTGGGATGCTGTCCCCTCCGTTCCCGCATCCGAGCGAGGAGGGGGGATACAGAGGTGGGTGACAGCAGAGCCCTCACCCCCCCCCCCCCACACACACACCCAGGGATGCTCTGCCCATCCCCACCCTCCACTCACCTCCAGAGCCTCTCGGAGGGGGAAACTGAGGCACAGCCCCGGGGGTGGGGAGGGGCTCAGGGCTGTTTGCAGCCGGGCGAGGACGAGCAGGAAACGGGCTCCAGCTCCTCAAGCAGCTGCCGGCTGGCCCTCCCCCCCCCTTTTCCCCCCCCCCCTTCCCCTCCCTCCGCTCCCCCCCCGGCCGGGGGGACCCAGGCGTCCCAGCTGCTGGAAGGCGGTACTGGGAGCAGCCCAGATCCTGCTGGGGCGGGGCGGGGGGGAGTTCGAGGTGGGGAGGAGGGGGCAGCTCCGGCTTTGTGCCGCTGCAAATGTTACTGCAATTGGGATAGGATATTTTTTTTTTTTTTTTTTGCAGTGCTGGAGGCTGAACAACCCCCCCCCCCTCGCCACGCCCCACCCGCGAGTGGCAGCCCTGCCCTCCCCACGCCGCGCCGGGAGCTTTGGAGCAGCGGGATGAAGGGGATACACAGCGTAACCCCGGTTGTGGTTGTTTTTGGTTTTGTTTTTTTTTTTTTTTTCTGGCCGTTGTACCGTACTTCCCCCTGCAGCCAGAAATAGAGGCCAGGAGGGAGCTGCAGGAAGGGGGGGGGCCCCACTCAGTGCCAGCCCCGGACCCCAACCACTGCCCCAAACCACCACAGCCCTTGGGGAAACTTTTGGGATGACGTTTCCACCTGGGTTCCCCCAGGTGGGAATGGTCCCAGTGGGGCAAAAGTACCTGGGGGGTGAGGATGGAGCTGCCGGGGTCACCGAAGATCGCTCCTGGCCGGGTGCTTTTTTGGGGGGGGTTTCTGGTGGCGGCGTCTTTGGGGTGCTGGTGGCCACTTGCCAGGGCGGGTGTCACGGCAAAGGGGCTCGTGTGCCGGTGACGCACGGGGACAACCTGCCACGAGGCTGGGGACGGTGACTCAGGGACACGGGGCAAGCTGGCATACGGGGCGGGGGTTACGTCGGCAGCCGCCCGTGAGTCACCCGTGGCACTGCCGGCGGCTGCGGTGAGTGGGGCTGGCCAGCCCAGCACCTCCATCCCTCCGGCCCACGGCCCCCACGGGCCCCTGTCTGGGGGTCCTGGTGCAGAACCCCCCACCACGGCCCCTCTCCAGCTTAGCCAAGGCGTTTCAAGCCTACCAGCCCCCTGCAAAGAGGCTGGGTGCAGGCGCAGTGGAGCCCACCCGTGTTTCGGGGCCGCGAGAGGCCGGGGCGGACGCGGAAACTGGGCGTTTGCGTCAAACCAGGAGGTTTTCCCAGGCGCCGGAGCGGTCGGAAAGAGCTCCCTCTGTTTGTGAGCCCTCTGTGGTGCCATGGGAAAGCCTGAACACCGACCTGCTCCTTCCAGCCCCAGCTTTGTCCCCTGGGCAGCAGCAAACGAGCATTAGGTCTTAATCACAGCTCCCCAGGCAGCAGGGACGGAGGACGTGCCGTGGTGGAGGGCGCCTGGCCAGCACAGTGGGACATGGCTCTAATGCAAACCCCACGGCCGGGGACAGCCCGGGCTCTGTCCCCAGCACAGGGGGACGTGCGGTGACATCCCTGCACCCCTCGGTGTGCTGCGAGAACAGGCAAACTCATAGCATCAATGAGGGCTGCTGCAGCTCCCCAAGCCCTTCACGCCTGGAAGTTGCCTCCAACAAAACCTCAAATCCTAGCGCAGGATGTTCCTCCCTGCTCCAGCACTGAAAATCCCCCAGTTTTTCCTCCGATTTTATTATTCTAGGGTTGTGGTGTGTTATGGCACGGGGAAGGAGCAGTGATGAGGAGCGGGGCCTCCCGGCCGCCTCCCCATCCCCACTCCGGCTAGGCCTTGGGTGATGCCGCAGGCTGCAGCCGCTGCAGCTCCAGGATGCGGAGGAGGAGGAGGAAGGCGATACTCAGGAGAAGCAGCCAGAAGAAAACCCAGTAGTGCTGCGGGAGGAAGAGCCATGGCCGCCACAGCTCCGCCGCAGAGCCCTTGGACCTGGGGAGAAGGTGACCGCGGACAGTCGTCATCCGGGGGGGAGAGCAAGTCCCACCTCTGCCCCAGCTGAGGATGAGGACGGCGTTTAACTCAGCCCCAAACCGCACTGGCCCCTTTGCAAACCCAAATGCAACAAGCCCGGGGAGGACACAGGGGAAACTGAGGCACAACAGGGGCAGCCAAGCAACATCCCAGCCTTCCATCACCAAATCTCCCAGCTCGTTTCCTACATGCTGGCCACTGTGGGACCTCCATCAGCCGTGGGGTGTGTGTGGGGGGATGCTGGGCACATGCAGGGTGCTGCTCACATCAGCCCAAGCTGCTCCAGCTCCTCGTCCCCTGCCCGTGAGCCTCTGCCATCTGCCTCGGCCACCGGCTCCCCTGTCACGGCGCTGGCCTGGCCCTGCAGCTCCAGCTCACTCCTGGGGAAGGAGAGGATGGGGTGCTGTGCTGTCCCCCCGTGGGCCAGCGGCAGCCGGTGCCGTGGCCTCCCCGCCACCCGGTGTGGTTACCTCTGGGTGCTGGGCCGGCGTTGAGCCCCCTCCCTCTCCGGCTCGCCGGCCGAGGCTGCTTGGCTGTCAGGGCTGGCACCTGGCTGGGCACCAAAAGTGGGAGCATCAGTGGGGACCCAGACCCCCGGTAGCACCATGCCTGGGGACGCGTGTCGGACAGCGGGGCACGGCTCCCATCCATCCGTGTGTGTCCCCCCCCCGGCGCGTGTCCTTACCAAGAGCTGCTTGGGGATGACGGCGATGCTGACTCTGCGGCGGGCAGACCCCTGCAATGGAGGGGCTGGGGATGAGCACCGCGCTGGCAGCCTCCCCGTGCTCCCCATCCCCTCCTTCCCCATTGCCTCCCCAGCACGGGCAAGGGACACCCCAAGGAGAAGGGAGGGACACTGCCAGCCTCCCGCTGGCCCTGGCACTAAGCAGGGAAGCCAGAGAGCTGGTGAGGTGAGGGAAGGTCAAAGCCAAGAGGTTTGTGCCTGTCCTTACTGCTTCAAGCCGTGCTGGTGGGGCTGCCTAACCCCCTCCCCGAGCGCTCCCCTACCTCTTGAGCTGTAGGGGAATCAGTGCCGAATTCGAGCTGGTGCTAGAGAACAGCCAAGCCTGCGGCTCTCGCGCTATGACCCTGCAATGCAGAGGGACCTGCCTGAGATCTGCTGGACAAGCAGCCTCCAACCCCGGGCACCCTGTCTCCCCAACCCCGGGCACCCTGTCTCCCCACAACCCTCGGAGGCTGCCCCTACATTTTGCCTCACCCCCGGCATTTCTAGCAGACCTTGCCCACAGCAAGCAGCTGGCAGGAGTGGAATTTCCCGGGGACTAGCGGGTGCGTGGGGACCACAGGGCGAGGGAGAGCAGCAGGGCACAGGGAGGCAGTGGCTCCGGGGCTGCTAAACTGGGACCAGTTACCTGCTGGAAAGTTCGCATCAAGGGGTGAGGCCTCTGCCGTGGCTCTGTGTCATCTGGGAGCAAAGAGAAGCAGCTTTACATCACACACACCCCCCCCCCCCTCACAAAATTAAGACAGGGCTGATGCGTAAATGGTTGCAAACCTCCCTCCCATCGAAAGCTGCCCTGGCCACACGCTCCGTGCTTGGCACAAGTCACAGGGGTGGCCCAGCCGGCGGGGACCTTGCTTGCATGCACAGGGATGGCGTGCGTGGGGTTTGGCATCCGGGGACAGAGCGTCCTTTGTGTGCCCCGTGCCCCCCGCCCCGCATTCCCAGCTGGGCCGCAGCACCACGGCTCTCTGGCCACTGGCACCTGCTCCCACGCTGCGTCTGCTGTTACAGCGGCCCCTCACATTTGTCATCGGGTCCCAGCTGCCACCCGTCCCCAGTCCCCAGCTCGCACAACCCGCAGGCTCTGCGGCGGCACAGGGTCATACTGACCCCCCAGGGGGGTTTGGGACCGAATCCCGGCAGGGTGGCCCCACGCAAACCCCACGCGGGCCCCGGCGGCAGAGCCCACCTCACCCTGGGTCTCCGCCAGCTGCCGGTTGCGGGAGTTTTGCTGGATCAGGCGCTTCATCTCCTCCAGCTCCGCGTGCTCCCGCCTGTGGTGCCGCTTCAGATTCTCCACGTGCTGGACCATCACCTCCGCCGCTCGGCTCATCCGGGCCTCCTGCGGCCGGGCAGGGTGGGGGATCAGGCCCCCCCATCTCCCTGTCCCTAAGGACCCGGGTCCCTGCCCGTCCCTCACCGTGCATCCCACAGTGCCTCCACCCAGGGGGTTCAGGTGCATCCCCCTTCCTGCTCCCGAGGGCAGGCAGATCCCTTGCACCCCCATGAGGTCAACGCCAACACCACAAGGAAGGATGAACCCCAGAAAGGCCAGGGATGGGTCACCAAGCCCAGTCACAGCACCCTCCATCTCTCCCAGCCCTGGCAGGAGTCCCAGGCTACGCACAGACCTGATGTACAGCCCCCAGCTTCTCTGCGGCGCCGGTTGCCCGCTCGACAGCAGCCGCCAGCACAGCCAGACTGTGCTGCAGCTGCTCCAGCATCTCCTTGCAGCCCGCATCAGTGCAGGATGGGCCCAGCCTCTGGGGAGGGAGAGGATGGCGCTGCCAGAGCCGGGAGTTGGAGTTGAACCCCCCCCCCGGGGCTGGATGTCCCCAGCAGATGCCAGCCCCCATGCCCTGGTGCCCACCTACCTCCAGGGCAGCCCGGCACTGCCCCAGCTCCTCCTGGATGTTATCCTCCGCCGCATCCCGTGCCCGTTTCTCCACCTGCATCCGTTGCCGCAGGGTGAACACGTCGCAGCGAAAAGCCAGGGCGAGGTGGGCAAAGGCTGCCTGTGGGGTGGGAGGGCGAGAGGTGAGACACAGCACGAAGGGGAAGCCACCAGAGCCATGCACTGCTGTCCCCAAGGCACAGACAGAACCCCTAGCATGCCACCAAGCAGGGCAGCGCAAAGGATAATTAGCATTTGTCTTGCCTCAGTACCCATTAGGCTGCTACATGCTGGGGACAGTCCCTGTAGGAGGCCAACCTGACCGAGACATGTCCCCCAGGCAGCTGATAACGTGTGGAAATCCCAACCCCTCCTGGCAAGAGCACGCGCCGGGCAGACGCCAGCCCTCACTGCAGGTCCCGGCTGACAGTGGAGCCTGACTCAGCCCTGGCACTCGCAAGAAAATTATTTTTATTAGCGCAGCTTCCATCACGTCCCTGGCTAAGGGAGCTCTCGGTGAGCTGCAGAGCACTTTGTGGGATTGCCGGGTGCGCAGAGGGTGGGGGCTCATCTTGCCATGGAAATGCAGCTGCCTCCAAATGCCAACGGCATCACTGGGAAAGGGATTTGTAAAGCAGCTGCCAGGGGACTGCGGTGCCTGGAGGGTGGCCAAGGAGCAAGGGCACAGCCCCAGGATTGTGAGCCAGCAAGGCGACCGTTCCTCTGTCCCCCTTCCCAGCCCTCACCTCCACGTCCTGCTCCGTCAAAGCCACCCTGTAGAAAGAGAAGTGCTGTCAGGGATGAGGGACTGCATGCTGAAAATGCCCTTGGCCTGTTCTCAGGGGTGCCCCAGTCACGACTAGAAGTGGGGACCCAAGTGCTTCTTGCCTGGAGAGCAGCTCTTGTGCAGTGGAAAAGGAGGAAAGTCCAATCCCTGGACAACATGGTGCCAAGGGACCCCCTTGTCTCGTAGCCCCAGGAGGGACACAGGTGCTGACTGGACTTACCTGTGCAAGCCGAGTCGCTCCAGCACCGAGAGCTCGCTGGGGAGACTCAGCAGGAGATCCTCCGGGTTGTCTGCATCTGCAGGGAGGCAGTAACGCCACGGGAGAGACCACATGTGAACGCTTTTCCTTGGCTTTTCCTCCTCCTCCTGCCCTACTGTCCCAGCATGGAGCAGGTGCCCATGGTGTGGGACTGTCCCAATCCTTCCCCCAGTATCAGGGACTTCAGGTCCCCCCTTCTCAGGTCAGTCCCCTCTTTCCCCATCTCCCCTAAGGGAGATGACCCCCATCAGGACATGCTGTTGCCACGCTTGTCCCCAGCTACTTCAAAAGCCTTCCCCCACAGGGACCCAGCTGGGATGTGGCATGGGTGACATGTGGCATGTGACCCACCTTCCTCGGTCCCGTCACCGTCCCTGCTGTGCACAGCCAGCTCCTGCCTGTCCGTGCCTGGCACCTGGGGGGGCACAAGGGCACTGTTGGAGTAAATCCCTCCCTGGTGCTGGACGGCATCCCCAAAAAGAGCAACACCAAGAGGCTGGGGGTCTGGCCAAGCCTGAGGGGCCAGGGAAGGAAAGGCCCCCCCCCCCCCCCCGCCAACCTGTCACCCTCCCTACCCTCTCACCTCACTGACAGGCTCCACACTCTGCTTGCTCCTCACCAAAGCCCCATCTGGGTGCCCCTGGGGACTGCTCATCCTCCCTGGGGACAGAAAGTGTGGTGGGAGCTGGGCAGCAGCGTCCCCTCCCCAGCCTGACACCACTTTAAGGGACACCCCCCAAAAAAACACTGCTGGCATTTCTGAAGAAGCCTGTAGGCTCCCAGGGGATATGGGCTGGCAGGTGCCCCCCCCCCGATACCCCTGTGGGGTTAAGGGAGCTGCAGCCAGGCTGGGCCAGGGCAGGGGGAGGTGGGCGAGGGGTCTGGTGCAGCCTGTGGGTTACAGCTGGAGAGGCAGATCCAGGGGACAGGGTGGGGGTCCCAGGGCTGGCAGGGGTGTGGGGTTGCAGGCAGGTGCTGCCAGGCCAGGGGACACTCTCCTGCGGGACCCATGCAATGCTGCTCAGTGGGGCAGGGTGCAAAAAACCGCCCCTTTCCCCCCAGTCCCCACCCTGGGCTGCCCTTACCTTCATCTGGAGCCGCGGGGAGCCCAGCCAGCTCTGCCTGCTGCTCCCTGCAGAGAGAAGCCTGAGTAAACCCCAAAGAAACTCCGGGCAGCAGAGGCAGCATCCCACCCCCTCTGCCCTCCCCCAGCCACCATGGCACCCCTCAAAGGGATGCTGCTCCGGACCTGGGTCCTTCCCAAGCATCCTCTGCAGCTCCCTCCGTCCCTGTCCCCGCTCTCCCTGGCGCTGCAGAGCTGCCACCGAGGAGCCCGCTGAAGCCGTTTCCAGCCAGCAATGAGTCACCGGCCCACGGCCGCCGTGCTTCTCTTCAGCACATTATTATTTTTTTAATTTTTTTTTTTTTGCCCTGGCTGCCAAGCAGACCTCGCTGCGAGCCGGCCTCTTCGCAGGCACCACAACAAACCCAGCTGCCTGCAGAGCCCGGGCGCCATCTCACGTCACCGTCACACGGGGGGACGGCAGGCTGTGGCACATGCTCTTGCCCCTCTCAAAGTCACCAGGATGGGCCTTGCCACCCCAAAACCCTGTCTTGGGTGCAAGGAAGTCTGACAGCTCTGTAGCACCCCTGCTCGCTGGGGCTGGGGATGCTGGAGCACGCCAGGGATGGCAGGTCATCTGTGCATGGAGATAGAGGGACTGCTGTGCAAACAGCCCTCCGTGGCCTCATGCTGGAGCTCAGCACCCACCTGGAAAAGGGTTTGAACTCCCCAACTTTTCTCCTGCAAAGGTTTGCTCCTCCAAACTCTCCTCTCTGCAAGCACGGGGATCATTCCCTGGGAGCAGCGGTCACATGAGAAGGGAGTTGCTGTGCTGAAATGATGCTCAGTGCCTCAGAGCAGGGTGATGCTCCAGCCAGTGTCCCCCCCCCTTGCCTGGCACCATCGCCCCTGTCCCATCCTCACTAGCACCCCGAGAGCTGCGGGCTGAGCTTTTCGTGCACATACCTCCGAGGTGAGGGGCTGGGTTGGCAGCTCGTCCTCTGCCGCGGCCACCGGCAGCACCCCTGGGCGAGTGCCTGCACCTCCTCTACCCCTCTCCCAGCGAGGTCCCTGCGAGCGGCTTCATTTGCAAAGCGCGGAGGCTCCAGGACCAGCACACCTATCATGAGAGACACATATTAGCTGTGCGCAGATGGGAGAACGCCTCTAAATGTTATATTTTTAAAGTATTTTCTCACCCAGCGGGAGCTCCAAGCTCCTCTGCTTAGCGTGGAGGCATCTGTGGGAAAAGAGGTGGGGAGGCCCGCTGCGATTCAGGAGGATGCTGCTGGGATTCGGTCGGGCACAGAGCGAGGCGAATGAGGAGTTTAATACAAGCCCCGTTTCTGTGCAGCGCTGAGGGTGGACTTTCCCACTCGCCGCCCTCGTTTCCCTCCCATGGGGTGATTCTTGCTTGGGGCTCGTGATGTGGGTCATCTCCGTGGGGGGGGAGATAAGTTTGCACCCACCTACCAGTATGAGCACCCAGTGCAGAGCAGGAGCAACCTGCTGTACCCCAGGCAGGGGACAGTTTGATCCCCGAGCATTCCCCAGCCAGGCTAGCTCTCAGATAGACAAATATAAGAGATTTCTGAGACCAAGGGAGCTTGGACATTTAATTTAAGCTGTTTTACTGTGCTTAAAAAGCAGAGAAAGCTGGCAGAAAGTCCACAGATTCCCTCACCCAGCCCAGGGTAAATTCCCTGTGCAGAAGGGACTCTCTTGCAGGACGTGTCTCCTCAGGAGCTGTGCCCACAGACATGCAGATAGGGGGTAGAAAGATTTTTTTTTTTTTTTTTTTTGGTCAGGACACGGAATGCAGTAAAGATTTAAGGGGACAGAGAGCAGGGACTGCTTGAAGCCCCACGTGCCTGTGCAAAGCCTTGACCAAGCTCTGTGTAGGTCACACCAGCACCAAGCGGGACCTTTGTCCATCTCGTCCCCCTGCCAAGAGGGACCATCTCCCATCTCCCAAAGCCTGCTCAGCTCTGATGGAAGTGTAAAGGCAAGCAGCACTTGGCATCTGTCAGAATAAGCCCATTTCATGCCTGCACACTGGAAATTGTCCCAAACACCTCTGCCCAGGGTCTCAGGAGCTCCCGGCCACCAGGGATCAGCCAAACTCATCACATCAGTGAGCATCAGAGTTTTCCCGAGCGCTGCTCCCTGCTGCAAAGAACTGGCTCCTTAACAGCCACAGCAGACCTTGCAGCCTGCTGATTTACTACAGCTCAGCCAGCTTTACACTAGCTTATCATCTTTGTTTTACGGATGGAAATACAGAGGCACGCAGCTTGTTTGCCCAGCGTGGCACAAACAACCCCCTGGGGAAGCCAGACCGAGTGCTTTCCCTTGCCTTGGCAACTTTACCAAACGCTCCCCGGGTCGTTACCTGCCTGAACTCGTCTCAAGCAGCCGAAGGCAGATGCTGGGGCCACCCAGCTCGGACCCGGCACTCAGCGCTGTCGGGTTCCCGGCAGACCCGGGAGGGGGGGGTCAGGGGATGCGGCGTGGCTGGCAGACGGTGGGTCGCGGGGTGCCGGGGCCCCACACGGTGCGAGTTGCAGGCAGCAGATTCTCCCCAGAAGGGAGAGCGATCGCATCTGCAGCAGAAGGATCTGCCAGGGAAGAGCTGGATGCGAGAAGGCCTTTAAAGGACATAGATGAGAGCGGCTGGGAGCTCCCTGCGTGGGGCCGGGGCGGGCTGAGCCGTTTGCAGGTGGCCAGGCGACCTCTGATTTCGGCGCAGGGCTGGATCCTGCACCCGCAGTTGGGAGGTGAGAGCTGTTACCCAGAGCTGGGAGAGACCGTGACTGCTCCCTCTGTGCCTGGGGTCTGCAGAGCGGAGCGGACCTGAGTCCCAGCATCTCTCAGGCAGGAGGCTCAGGGCAGGGCAGTGGCGCTCAGGACCTCCTCAGAGATGGGGGATCCCCCCCCCCCCATGCCTTCACAGGGGGGCACAGCACCAGGCTAAACCAGGATGGCTGAGAAGGAGCCCCTGTAACATCGTATTTGATGATTCAGGGAATTCACTCTGCCCAGGACCCCCATCCCTCCTGCCCCTCTTAGCAGCCCCACTTTCCCCCAGTCACCACCCCCACTGCCCCTTCCCCTGCCCGACTCCATTGCTCAAATACATCACATCTTCTAAAGCTGCTTTCTTCCCCTAATGAGCTTATGTGGAGTCAGACTCGATGCTCAGTGCTACAGAGGACTGGGCTGCAGGCAGGCAGTTGCTATTAGCCCCCCACGCCCAGGGACCCTGATGTACCACGAGGAACAAGGCAGGTCCTTGGGGTCTGCAAATCTCTCTTTGGAGCCAGCAAACAGCATCTCCCAGCCCCTGGGAAGGGCTGGCCCAGCTTCATTCCCATCTGCCAAGAGCACAGGATGCAGCCCCAGGTCCAAGGAGCAGCCAGGAAGGGCTGCAAGAGCCCATTTGCAGCTTTGAAGCAGGAGTTGTGCTGTGCCACAGTGGGATGAGGCTTTGGAAAGGGCCATCAACAATGGTCCCCACCAGGTCAGGATTTCAAATGTCCTTAAAGCTTCAGGGATGGGTTTTCCCCTCTTGGGGCAAAAATCTCCTGCTCGAACCTGACCCAAAAGCAGAGATGCTGAGAAATCATGTGTCATCATAGTGGACAAATAGACCCAAATTCCCATGCTATCTTCCCTGTAACACTCATACCTAGCAACACAAGCTATGGTATGCATGATCAGCGCCAATTAATAACAACTAACACATCCTAAGTTCATACCACTAGCACCAGGAAGACACCAGACATGCTGAAAGGCAAACTGACACTGTTCCCTTATATTCTTATATATCCTCTGCCTTTGCTTAAAGTACCTTCCCTGGGATTTCCTCTCTTCTCCATCCTTCTGTTTGCTGTCCATCTCCAAGTTTCCAGGTACAAGGGTTGATCACTTGTGCTTCTTTTTAGAGAAGGATTTGCCAAGACACACTTCCCAGAGCGAGCAGGTCACCTGGCCTGAGCTGCGAGAGGATGCTCAGGGCTCATGCTGGCAAGGCCAGATCCATCCCACAGGTATGTCCATGCATGTCTATCCGGAGGCAGCCGAGCCTGGGTGCTGTGCAGCAGTGATAATCCCAGGCAGCAGAGGTTTCACCCTGGCCCTTACCCCCTGTGCTTTCCCAGCCAGCTGGTATCTCAAAACACAGATGAATTCTCCAGGCATGAAGTCAGGTTTGTGTTAGCACCACCAGTCCCATCACTGGGCTGACTCGCCTCAAGGCACCTCCTCATTTCAGAAAGGGGAGACCCAAGCAAATGAAAATATTTTTCCTTTGGGCTGAGACTCAGAAGATGAAGCCCATTGCCCCGATGGCATTCCCCTCCTCGAGGACCACCCCCTGCCCTTAGGCACACAGGTCTTTACTATGTATTTTATTGTTAAGTGCTTTTTCTAGCCAAGAACAAGGTGTCTCCTCAACAAAGCCTGAAGCAGTAAAAGCACCTTCCAAGGATGATGCCGAGCAGACAGAGGGTACAAAACCAGGGGGATAAGGGACAGATACCTTTGCATACACCAGTGCCTTGCCATCAACACAGCCTGGTCCTGCTGGCCCCGGCCCTGCAGAGACCCTACTTTGTCCCCAAGAGCTGTAGCCTGGCACCAGGCAGGCAGCAGAATAGGCTCTGTAGCCTCTGCTCTAGGATCCTGGCAGGTCTATGGCTGCAGCAAGTTGCTCCATGGGGGACACAGACCTAAGGACACCATCGTGTTGGTTCCCCACACCAGAATAGGACTTTTCTGTTCAAAAACTTCTCTATTCCCTCCCACACACACATGCCGAGGGGTTCAATAAGAGGCAATGCCCCTCTTTGCAAACCATTCCATTCAAAGAGCCTCTAAAAGCATCTCCTAAAAGCACCCAGAGATTTGTATGTATTCTTACTTTTAACCTGAGAGCACCTAAATCAGGCTTGCAATCTAGGTATCGCAGAGCCTCAGACAAGCAAAAGCAGCCCAGCTCCCCATGCACAGACCTGTTCAGCAGGGATGAACAAGACTCTGCTGGGAAATCTCCAGCCCAGGGAGGTGAGCAGCAGCAAGGGGCAGTGGGCTCAGGCTTTGCCCCTTGTGTCTTCTTCCAGCAAGGTCCCACCAACGATGCGGCAGCCTACTGCGACAGCCTCTTCCCAGGGCTCCTCCTGAAGCCGAGCTGAACTTGCAGCTCAGATCACAGAGACCGTGGTCATCTGGATTATCCACTTCTTGGAGGAAAGCTGCTCAGAGTGAGACTGACTGCTACTGCTGATGCGGCAAATGTGATTTATTAGGTCTGTGCAGGGGGCCCAGCCATAAGGCAACCCCAGCCCTCCAGCAAATTCATCTTTGTGTGGCCCTGGCCTCCCCAGCTGACAGGGACCTGGCAGCCACCAGACTACCCAAGGGAGAACACGATTCTCTTATTATGATTAAAAAGTTGTTGGCAAAAAAACAGACAAGAACAAACGTTTTTGTTTCTTTTGGTTCAGTTTTCAATTCCAGGTTGAAAAAAGGAAACAGCTGAGCCTTCCCCAGAACAGTTCAGCCCCACATCTGGGCGTCACAGACACTAGTTTTTAATGCAAAACTGCATCTGCATACTGAGAATTACATGCAAATGATTAACAGGGTGACTGTCAGCTCCCAGCATTGCTGCAGGAGGGGACATAGCAACTACCTGGACATGCCTGCAGCTCCTGCTTGGAAAGGGGCAACCCCTCAGGGGATGGATACAGACCATTTTCAAGAAATCAGCTGAGTTTCAGCCTTTTCCAATAAGATGTTGCATGGACCAAGGTGGTCTGGCTCCTATGTGGCTCTGATGTTTGGTGTTTAACAGCTGGGGACGCAGTGTTCGCATGCTTCTGCCCACCCAAAGGGGGTTCTCTGTTTGCTTGATCATGGCACCAAGAGGCCACCTGGGGAGTGGAAAGGCCATCCGGTCATGAAATTGGTTCAAAAAAAATCACTGCGGGAAGATGAAGAGGCAGAGTGGACAGATAACCCAAGTAACCGCATAATATTAATTTCCTTTAAAAAAAATAAACAAAACCATTACTAGGCCAAAAAAGGAATTCCCCTCCGTATCATGAAGGAGGTAAATCTCTACAAACAGAAGAGGAAGCAGATGAGGAGTTACTGTCAAATATTGCAAGTTAATTGGATGAAAATTATACACTGCCTTCTACGTACAGCCTAGGAAATGTCTAAGACAAAGCTTCAGCCCTTTGCCTTCATCAACACTGCTAATAAATCAGGACAAGGACAAACCCAGCCCTGGCTCTCCCTCCACTCCTGGATAAGGCTCTGCTGCACTATAAAACCTGACTGGTGTTTTATGCTGCATTCACCTCTTTGCATTGTTCAGGCTGGATTTTAAAGTTCTTGAGAGGGTCAAGAAAAGTCAAAAGTAAAGTTTTCCGTGCAGATGCTACCAACCACCACATAAACATGCAGACTTCCACCAGCATGTCTAGTGTCTCCAGGGTTTGCTTCCAATTCTAACATGACTGTTATCTTGCACGTACATCCCATAGGAATCCACAGTATATGATAAGCTGCGGCCATGAGCAAAAACAGGGCTAAGAAGGCTCTTTCCACAAGCCAGCATAATGCTTCTCAGCAGAACAGGAACACCCCTTGCAGTTTGCAAAGCTGATCCCTGCCTGACTACTGTTTCTTGCAAGAAACCACGTAGGCTGGCCCAAAACACAGCTCCCAGTATCTCCAGATGAGTTGGAAGTGCAAGCTGCATACGGCACGTAGCAGCCAAGAACAGCCTGTCAAAATGAGACCGTTGCCTAAAGATACTAGTAAGCAGTTACAAAACCAAACATCCATCAGGGAGGAGGTGCACGCCACAGCCAAATTTCAAACCATTTATTGCTGCCCAGTCCATAGAGATCCTGGGGCTTCCCCATGGTGCTCTAGAGATACACAGCACGTGTTCTTCTAGTTCTTCAGCAAGGACACCAGGAAGCTGACAACCAGGTGAATTTTGGAGAGGAGTTTGTCTTCAGTCATCTTCATGTGACCAACAGCCACAGCCAGACAGAGCACTGGGGACAACGACACCAAGGTCACTTGGTAGAAGCTTTGCAGCGAAACTGCAAAGACTGCAGCCTGCTACCTAATAAAGCCAGAATAGCAGGCTCAGACCTTGATGATCAGGGCACAGTTTCTATTTATGTCATGTTTTGGGCAGCCCTACAATAGCTTCAATATACTCAGCCATTAACTCACTGGTATGCAAATACATCAACAATCCAGCTCCCTGGACGTTTCTTTCCTCCAGCTAACATAGACTTTGAAGCCTCATCAGTCCACTGTCACCTAAAATAGCTTAAGAGATTCATACTATAAAGAAATCTGTGCTCTCAGTGTTAAGAGCATCATTTAATGCTTCAGGGTTTCATTCCTCTGGCTGGGTCTAAATATTAATGAGCAAACTTGAAGCAGTAACATGTCACACCTACATGTTTTAATCCCTCTTCTCCCTTTGTAGATGTAAACGTTTATGAATTTTTTAAATAGCTCCTTTAATATGTAATGCTTCAAAACCTCCGTTAAAACTGAGAGTCTATCCACTCTCTCCCATCTTTATCTTTCTAGTTCTCTGACCAGAAGGTGCCCAGATGAGGTTTCCAGGGGGTGTTCTCAAGGATACTGGATAGAAATTTGGACACAGTCACACTACAGAAGCACTTTTTATCAGGATGTCACTAAATACCTTGTAACAGCAAGTGTCATCGTTGCCACATTAAAAACCAGAAATGTGACACACACAGCAGGGCCCCATGCAAGCCCTGGCAAAACAGAAAAAAAAAAAAAAAAAGCATATTTAAAGCAGAAAATTCTAGTCTACCAACTCTTAATTTAAATCTCACTCTCCTGTATCCCAAGATTTGTAAATCCCAGCAGATCAGATAAACAGCCCAGGAGATCACCACTGCACAACCCAGAAATCAGCTTAGCCATTGGAGAAAAAGGCTGATGTGCACAAAATGTACCAGTTGTGCCTTGGCTCATTCGAGCTAAGATAAAGGCACGATGGTCAGTTAAGCCTGGTCCAGAATTATCATCTTCAGACAGCACCACATCAGTTTCTGTCTTGATTCATCAATGTGTTAAGGGCATTAAGAACTCAGAACCTGTGACCTCCACCATGCGATACTGTTCGCTGGGTGCTCTGGGCTACCACAACATTGAAAAAAAAACCACTTGAAATATACAGGTTTTGGACAAGATGACTCTTTGCCTTGGCTACCAGGTTACCACTGTGAGCAAGGAGAGAGGGAGATTTGCCAGCTTTGTGCAGACCTGGAGAAAGGAAGGAGCAACTTGCTTCATAGAGGGCTGACACTGGGATGGCATCATGCTTCTCAGCTGTGAGAAACAAGGGTGCTGGTACACACAGGAAATATTGCAGCCCTGTTGCTCCATTTTTAACCATTTGATTAAAACAGGTAGGGACACCTGCAAACCAGGCTGATGAGGCACACAGATGCTCAGTCAAGCTCTTCAGATTCACAAGTTATCAGAGGTGCTGGCACAGGGTAGGACACATCACGTCATCCAGCACGCTCGTCAAGCCAAAGGGGACCTGAAAGCAGAGAAGGGCTTCTGCTTCTTCTGCAGCTTCTCGTTGCCTGGTCGGGTAATGTGGGGACCCGCTCGACAGAAACCCCTTTTCTAGAAGAACAGAAAGCCTTGGGATCACTGCAGCCCACCGTCAGGCACGCTTTGAGTACTTATGTGCCAACATTACTCCATCGATAATGCAAAAAAAAAATAATGGATTGTTTCCCTGATTTAAAAAAAGCCACCTTTTAGGCACAAACCATCTACCGAAAAAAAAAAAAAAAGTAACCTTTATGCAATTACCCACCTCCCGGCCACCCCCCCCACCCGCGGGCCCAGCGCCAGGACAGGGCACCCCAGGGACCTGAGGCGCCTGGGAGCGGGAACGCCACTGCCCGCAGGCGCCTGTCGCCCCGCCCCTCCGCAGCCCCTCCCCTGCCGCCATCTTGGGAGAGGCGGGGAGGGAGGCGCCATCTTGAGCGCGGCAGGGCGGGCAGGCGGGAGGCGCCATGTTGAGTGCGGCAAGGCGCCGAGGCGGCCCGGGGACAGAGCAGACACAGAGATGGCTGGAAACGTGGTCATTGTTTAACCAAGAAAACCCTCATCTTCAAGACACGGGGCACGCGTGGTGCTGGGATGGCCAGCCGGCTGAGCGTGAGGCACTGCTGCCACAGCCCACGTTCACTGCGTCTCCATCTTGCTGGTAGTGAACCCCGCTGAGGGACTGGGCTGCAGCTACCAGCGCCTAACAAGCATCCTCTGCCCAAGGAAGCCATCATCTTGCCGTTCCCTCATCTGGGAAGAAGAGAGAAAGAGGAGAGAAATCAAGAAAAGGGAAACCCATCACCAACCACAGGTTTCTGCTGGCACTCATCAGTTTCCCGCTTCCTGGAGCCGGCCAGGAACGTGGAGGCTGCCATCCCCCATGAAAGAGACCCCAGCTCAGAGGGCACAGCGTCCACCTCACCCGGCTCCTTCCAGCATGGCCTGCAGCGATTTCTTCAGAGCAGAATTGCTCCAATCCAGAGCAGCAGCCAGACTGCGCCGGTGGGCTGGGGTGACCTGGGACGGAGGAAGAGCAAGGAGCTTTGAGAGCTGCACTGCCAGCAGCCCACCCGAGACCCCCAGGCCAGGTCCTGGGTCAGCTGCAGCCCCAGCTGCCAGCTCACCACCTGCTCTGTGGGACCCAAGCCTGGTCTTACCTGGCTTTGGTACACAGTGAGCACAGCCGTCACCAGCTTGGCGTAATTCAGCGACGTAGCGAAGGCTGGGGCCTGCCGGCACAGGGTGAGGACCAGGAGATCGAACAGCTCGGGGGGTAGCACCTCCTGGGAGAGAGCCACAAGTGGGGAGGAGAGCTGGTCCTCGCTCCAGCACGGCTGGAGCCAGCAAGGAAACCCAAGGGGACAAGGGGGTCCCCTCACCTGCCGCCCCAGCACAGCTTGCACTACCGGCAGGAGCTTTTCTGACAAAGGCACCTCCAGGACTTGGCTGCGAGGGACAGTGGAGAGGAGATGTGATGCTCACACATCCCCACTGGTGCTCCTGAGCAGCTGGAGCCAGCTGGACCCACAGAGGCAGGCACGAAGGTTGAAGCAGAGCTGTTACCCCTGTCATCTCTTACCTTAGCACCAGTCGCACACAGTCTGGCTCCAGGCACTCCTCCACGAGCTCACACACTAGCTTGGTCTGCTCAGTGCCTGCAAGGGTAAAGCAGAAGGAGGAGAGACTCCAGAGGCTGCCCAATCCACAGGGATATGCCCATCCCTCCCTGACACCCCTTTACACAGGGGTACATCCCAGCCAGAACACCCAGGAACCACGTAGTGCCCCCCTTCTACTGTTCAGATAATCCAGCTTCCTTTGTCCTTCTGCAGCAAGGGTTTAACTAGCACCAGTCCCTAGGAAAAGGGGATGCTACTGTGGCAGGGATTCATGCAGGGCTGCCTTCTCGTGCCAGCAGGGCCACCCTGAGGCAGTTTTGGTCCCAGCATTACAAGTTGTCAGGAATCCTCAAGCCCATGGAGGGATGGCAGCTGTTCTTTGGGAGAACTGATGCTGGAAACCAGCCTGGCCTCCCGTTTCTTTCCATCTGACATCTGTAAACCCTTCTTCCATCCCAACTCCCAAGTGTTCACCTGCCCAGATAAAACCAGCACCATCTCCACCGTTCCCAACACATTTTGGGTGATAAATGCCTCCCAGGAGACAGCACTCTGCAGTTGGGGCTTCCCTTCCAGCTGGATGCAGCCCACAGCCCCCCTCCAGCTCCCTCAGCTGCTCCCAGAACCAGCCGTGCCTTCTGCGAGCCCACCGCACCTTCCCCTGGCTCCCGCAGGACCGCAGCCACCAGGACTCGACAGAAGGGCTGGGAATACTTGGAGCAAAACGAAGTGAAGGCAGCCATGAGATGGCGGGAGGGCGGCTGGGCGAGGGACAGGACCTACGGACAGAAAAGGCAGGAGGTGGGGAAGGTGGTGAGGGAAACAGGGTGCAGGAAACCTCTGGCCTCACACTTACTCGCCTGAGGAAGAGCTGTTCTGCCAGGATGGCCGCGCTGGTGTAGCTGAGGTCGGGGGTGAGAGCCAGCAGCCAGCTGCAGAAACGGACCAGGAGGTGCTCTGGGCACGTGGAGAGCTGGAGGAAGGAGCATAGACCCTCGAGCTGGGGACAGCAGAGGGGACAGGGACGTTAGGGACAGCAGCGGGCCCTCCGCGGCACTGGCGGTTGCATCGAGGATACGGAGGCTCACCTGGCCAGGAGAGCAGTTGTTCAAGACGTGCAGCTCGGGCAGGATGCTCAGCTCTGAATGCTGCAGGGAAACATGGTCCTTGAGCGATACACCAAATAAAGCAACCCACAGAGTACAGCTCCGGGGCTTTTCTCTTCCCTACTGCCCTCCCGCTTCAGCCAGCACTGACCTCCCAGGCTGCCCATCAGGCAGCAAATCCCTGCGAGGCAGGGATTAGTACCTGAACCCAGGGGAGGTGACAGTGGGGCTGTCTTTTTATCTCTCTCTCCTGTCATCCCTGTGAAACCCACCTCCTCTCCAACCTTCTGAAGGCCCTGGCATGAGCCTGTTTAGATCACCAGCTCTAGGAGAGAGACAGAAGCAACCACTTACATTGGACTCCTTCTGCAGCAGCATTTTCAGCCTCTGTCCATGCATCTGAGGAAAAGGAGATGAAGAAATAGAAATCAGACTCTGAAGGCTCGCTGGCTGGAAGGGGAAGGCAAAGTCTGCCAGGTACCTGGAGAAAGGACTGGACCTCTGCTGCCAGCTCTGCCTGAAAAATCTTCCTGGGCTCCCCAGCTGCATCCTGCTGGGAGCTTGCTGGAACGTCTGGACTCTGAGGGGATCTGTCTCCCAAAGGCTTCTCAGGCACCACCTCTTCCACCCCTGCCCCATCCCCACCCTCCTGGGCTCCTGGGGGGTCAAACGCTGTCTCCTCCAGCAGCGGCCTCTTCGCCTCTCTCTCCTCATCCAACTCCAGGCTCTCCTCTGACACTTTCTTGCACTTCCCACCGTGAAGCACAGCATCAGCCACATCCCCAGTGGCACCGGGCTGCTTGCTGAAGCACCAGTTCAGTTTCCTTCGCCCCTCTGGTTTGTCCTGGGCAACTTTATGGCACAGGCACCGAAGCTGCTGCTGGCACGTGGAAGACAAGGGAGTGGGAGGTGGGGAGCACCCCTCTCCCCTTGGTCCCTGACGGAGCAGATCCCCCAGTGTCCGCACCCAGGGATCCACGTGGGAATCCTGCTCCAGGGTCTGGAGCAGCCGGCTGAGGCAGCCCCCTGGCACCACGGCTTGCACCACGAGGAGCAGGGAGAAGAGGTTTCTCTGGCACACGACGGGGAGCAGCAGCAGCCGTGGCTTGCTGGATAAGGGGAGAAAAAGGAGAGGTGACACGTCAGAGCAAATCCCCAAGTCCTTATTGCCAACCTGCCCCATGGACCAGGGTGTAACTGGACTTGGAAGTGAGAGGAGGCAGCAAACGTCTTCGCCAGCTTTTGCAGACACGAGCGGGAAGACCAGCAGGTCCCTGCTATGATCCTGACTTCACGTATGGACCGCTGCAACCACGGGGAAGAGGATGCACGGTGCTGAACTGGGTGCTAAGACACACCCAACCTCCCACAAAACACTGAGTTTTGGAAAGGCAGCCGACTCACCCAGCCAGGGCCCCCTCCGGCCCCTCCAGGGTGGGCTCCTTGGCGCACAGGGCTGTGGTGAAGGCCTGCCAGGGAAATGCCTGCCCCGGTCCCTCGTGGACCCGGCCCTGCTGCAGCATTCGGAGGGCGGCCAGTGTCCCGGAGGAGCCGGAGGCGAGCGCGTGGAGCAGGAGCCGGCACGGCTTGTCAAAACTCTGCAGCCAGGGTAGGCAGCGGGGCTCCATCGCTGCTGGGGGGGGGGGGGGGGTTCACAGCTGCCTGCAAGAAAATCAGGGAGAGCTCACCATGGGTCGCACCGAGAAGGGCGCAGGGAGGAGCGGTACATCCAGGACCCGGCCAGCCGTGCTGGGGAGCAAACCGCGGGGTCCTCCCTCACCGGCTGCAGTTTCGGGGGGCTGCCCTTACCTGTGCACGGCGGGATGGGGGGGGGGGGGGTCCGTGGTTATCCCCGTCACCGTCACCTGAGGATGCAGCAGCGTTGCCGAGACTCACAACGGAACCGGGATCCCCTCTAAACCCACTTCACCCACCAGCTCGATGCTCCCCGGGGGGGGGGGGTGGAGCCGAGAGGGAAAACCCCCGAGTGCTGCCGGCGGGGGTCCCCCCATCGCAGTGCGGCCCTGGGGCCCTAACCCCCCCCCCAGGCAGACACTCACCGGGGGGAGAAAACGATGGGCAGGGGAGGGCAGGGTGCCCGGTGCGTCCCCACCCGGGGGGTGCCCAGGACCGGAGCCCCAGGGCCGGCAATACGCGCCATTTCCGGGCCCGCCCCGTTGAAAAAGCGCGCCACGTATGCAAATCAACCCAGAGCGAATAATTTATAAATTATGCAAATATTCTCTTAAAGCCAAACCCTATCAGCCGACACACACACACACCCCCCGGGGGTTGGTGTACCCCCCCCGCCATCCCAGCCCCCGGAAGGAGAGCCCTCAGGCAGCGTTACTTTACACAGCCCATTTTATTTCATAATTTCTACTTTTAGCTAAAAGCAGTTTAAAACAGTGCCCCACAGCTGCCCGGCTCCCCCAACCCCATGTGCATTAAAACCCTCCCCAGCACCCAGCCCACCCCCCTGCCCCGGCTACCGCGAGGTCTCCCATGGGTGCAGGGCACCCTCACCAAGGAGGTGAGGGCAAGAGAAGGGGGTGGCTGTGCCCCACTGCCTTGAGACCCCTGCAGCTCTGTCACCCCCCCGCTCCCTGACTTCCTGAGGGGAACGGGATGTGAGAGCCATTGGGGTTCAGCCACCGACACGGGGTTGGCTGATAAACACCAGCCGGACTATTTCTCCATCCCACCCCACCCCTGCAACACCCTTCATGCCTGGAGTCGCCCCAAATCAATGCCAGGAGCAGCTAAACACATCAAAAGCAGACGCTTCCCCCTTCCAGAGGACACTTCCTTGCCGCCAACAGCACCCAAGCTGAGCGGGGCACCCTGCAGCTTAGTTGGAGTTGCTGAAGTTGATGAAGAGCATCTCTTGGCCGCAATGCAAGTACCGAAGGGTCATATCAGTCAGCGTCAGGGTGAGAGCCCATTCATGCGCGCAGAACATCTCGTCCTCCTCATCGGAGCCCTCCAAGGGAGAAGGGCTGAGCTCCTGCAGCACAGGAGAGAGGATGAGCCCCGGCCTCGAGTTGTGTCCGTGCCCCAGCCACCCCCCCTCCCCGGGACACACCACCCCACTTACGACGAGCACCGTCGGCTGCTGCTGTCTGGGCTGCGGCAGCTGGCCGGCGGGCAGCTCGTGCAGGTAGATGCAGTCTGATTTGAACGGGCAGTGACCGTGGTTCTGGACAAAAAACTTGCACCTGATTTTCCTGTGGGATTCAAAGCGTAGCTGTGAGTGCCGCTCCCGGGGCGGCGCCGAGCCCGCAGTCCGCGCTGCCACGCGCTCACCCCGTCCGCGCCTTGAAGGTTTCGATGAGCTGCTGCTTCTCGCTCGCATCCGAAACCCAGTATTTGTGGGGGATGTAGTAACTGGAGGTGACCCGGCATTCTGGGCAGGCCCTGGGTGAAGGTAACGGGTGCAGGTGGGTGTCCTGAAAAGGGGTCAGCACCCATGCACCTCACCCAGCATCCCCATCACAGCTCCCAAGCGCCTGTTCCCAAAGGAAAGTCGCTCCATTCCCACAGCCACCCCGCCAGACCCAAGGAAGGATTTCAGGGTGCAGACGGTGACCACCCTGCCGCGTCCCCATCCCCACTCACTTGATGACCGTGCTCTGGAAGTCCCGGCTGCGACGCCACTTGCGGATGCAGCCCACGCAGTACGCGTGGCTGCAGTTTGGGAGAATCCCAAAGAGCCGCTCCTCCGGCAGCAGCTTCTCGTACACCCGATCCATGCAGATGCCGCACACCACGACCTCGCTCCGGGCCCTCAGCACCGCGATGGGGACCGGGGCCGCCGCGGCGCCCAGCTCCTTGGGGACCTGCAAGCAGAGCAGCAAGACACTGCAACCCCCTGGCTCCATCACTGCACCGGCCTAGGGGACCAACACGGGGGGGGGACGGGGTCTGCCTGGCCGCAGGAGACCCCCCCAGCCCACCTCTGCGGGGTTACTCCATGTCACTGTCTCCACCACTGCCTCTCTGGAGTCAGGAGAATTGGGATCCAGTCCCAGCCCTCGCTGCTGGGAGCCTGCAGGCAGGAGAGCTCTTAGAAGGGAAAAGCACATCCTGCCCCATCATCAGAGAGGCAGGCTGGCTGCTCAGAGAGCACAGGCTTAGCAGTTAAGGTCCCCATCCTAAAAAAGCTGCTAAGAGAGCTTTCCCCAGCCCCAGCTGGGCCCTGCCCAGAGATGGAGGGAGGAGGATTTGGGTCAGGGGCAGACACATGCACAGGATGCTCCTCCGTGACCACCCCGGTATCCTCAGCCCCAGTGGTCCCGCACCTACCTGAGGCACCTTGAGCTTGTGCAGGGACAAATTCTCCGCCAGCGGCCCCACGGGGGACGTTATCTGGTGCTGGAATGTTGTCCTTGTTTTTCTCTTCCTCCTTACCCTCCATGCTCGCGAACTTGAAGGCCACGCGCATCACGCGGGGGACAGGGCGAGCCGAGCTGTGCCGGGCTCCCCCCCAGCCACGGGCCACTGCCGCAGGCGGACGGCCAGGCTCCAAGCCCCTGCGCCCGGGGGGCACGGGGGGCACAGGGCCGTAGCGGATCCCCACTGGCACCGGCTCCTCTCGGACGTGCTCATAGCTGGAGGAGCCCAGGGACAGACAGACAGACAGAAGATCCCATCAGCCCGGCATGACACGGCCTGGCTCCCAGCCCATCCTCGTGGCATCAGGCCTCCTCCTCACTGCTTCCTTACCCGCACCGCTCTCCGTAGCTGCAAAACCCGTTCTGGAAGTGCCTGCAGATGTGGGCTGACTTTCTGTCGTGCGAGAAGCGGCAGCTCTGGCCCCATCGACAGAATCCGCGGGCAAAATTCCTGCCAGCCAGAGAAGCCACAGTCCCCCTCCGGTTCCCTCCACCCGCCACCCCAAAATGAAATCCCCCCGGGGCACCAGCTTTGCCTGGATGTGGCCATATTTTCAGACCCCCCCCTCAGGCAGAGCCCAGCGGGGAGCCAGGGCTCTCCCTGCCCCATCCAGCCATATCTCCCAGCTAATTGCAAAGCAAACGAAGCCCAGGGCAGGGCTGGCCGAGGGGGTTCCAGCAGCCGCTGCCCAAGTCGGGGGGCTCTGCCTGGGCCCAGGGGAGCACGGAGACAAGCCGGGGGTCCAGAGGGCTGGGGCAGCCCCTGCCTCCCCTTGAGGGCATGGAAAGGGGCAGGAGCCCTTGGGTTGGGGCTGCTGGGAGGGGGGTGCCCAGCTGGGGTGCTGCTGGGGACCCCCAGCTCCAGAGAGGGGGGTGGCCGGCCGGACAGACTGTGTCCCCTCCAGCCCCTTCGCCCTCCAGGGGAAACGGCCCAGGGGGGGTGTGGGGTTCAAGGGCATCACGAACCACTCTCTGCCCCCCGCAGCGAGGGGCTCGCAGCCCCATCGCCAGCCTATCTCCCCCAAAAGCTTCTCCCAGCTGCCCCCCCCAAAAGCCCTACCTGCACAGGGGTCTCAGACAGGCCCCCCGGGCCCTTAATGCCCCAGATGCCACCAGCGAGCCCGGCTCCATCTCCTTCCCAGCAGCTAAGAGGGCTGGGCGACCTCCCAGGGCTATTTATGGCCTTGGATGGTCTCCTGGTCACAGCTGGGATAGAGTTAATTTTCTTCCTATTAGCTGGTACAATGCTGTGTTTTGGGTTTAGTATGAGAATAACATTGATAACACACTGATGTTCTAGTCCTTGCTGAGCAGTGTTTACACTAAGTCAAGGACTTTTCAGCTTCTCATACTGCCTGGCCAGCGAGGAGGCTGGTGAGGGGTGTGGGGGGGCCACAAGAAGCTGGGAAGAGACACAGCCGGGACAGCTGCCCCAAACTGGCCAAAGGGATATTTTATACCATATAGTGTCATGCTCAGTATATAAATTAGGGGGGAAAGCTGGCTGGGGGCTGCTGCTTGCAAACTGGCTGGGTGTTGAGTGGTGAGAAATTGCATGGTGCATCACTTGTTTTGTAGATGATGATGATGATGATTTTCCCTTCATTTTCTGTCCTGTTAGACTATCTACCCACACATTTTGCTTTTTTTTTTTTTTCCAGTTCTTTCCCCCATCCAGCTGTGTGGTGGTGAGCTGCCCGCCGGGTTGAACCACGGCCGGTGGGCACGGCCGGTCCCCACCGTCACCCTCCCAGCAGCCACAGCGGCATCACCCTCGCCCCCGCCGCTCCCCCCCACCCCGGCTGGGACCTTCAGAGCCCTCCGTGCCCCCCAGCTGCATGGCAAAGGCTGGGGGCGACGGTACGGCTTCCCCTGGGGGCACTCAAACTGGGGGGGCAGAGAGAAGCCTGGGGGTCTGCAGCCGCTCCCCGTAAACTTTTGGGTGTTCAGACCCAGGCAAGCGCAGAGCCGGTGCCAGCACGTGGCCGGGCTGTCCCTGAGCCCACCCTTGCCCATCTTGGGGTGGCTACAGCCAGGCTGAGCTCATTGCCCAGCTTCACCCCTGCAGCAAGGGCACAGCAAAGATTTGGGGCGGGGAGCGCTCGGCTCCGAGGCTGTGACACTGCTCATGAGCTGCTCTCGCTGACTTTAGGTCTGATGGCAAACGCGGGCAGGAAAACCACAGCAGCTACGAGAGCTGGGAATCGCAGAGACCTGGGAATCATGGCAAATCCCTGGAAATCACAGCAAATCCAGCAAATCCCATCGCCTCTGCTGGAAAGCCTCCCAAGGGCAGCCCCCCAGGAGCCAGGAGAAATCCCACAAAGAAAGGTTGGACGCTAAAAAGTTCTTAAATATTTAGTTCAGATTTATTTAAAGTCAAGTCAGTTTGTGGACACTATTTATATTATTAAAAACACTTGGAGGTTTGTACTTCTAGCAAAAATATACATTTCAGTTTGAGGGTTGTTACACTGTTGAGGAGGGAAGAGCAAAAAGTTCCCCAGGTGATGAGCACGTGAGTCCCGCATGCCGGCCGCGGCAGGAGATGCCATCGGGGGCTCCGGGAAGGACAAATCCCCCGGGCTCCGTCCAGCACACGCATGTTTCTGGTGCCTTTCCCAAGAGGGCTTCAAAGTGCTTTAGAAACGGTAATTTGTAACACCCCTGCGAGGTAGGGAGGGGAAGGGGCTGGGCGGGCAGAGGGCAGGGAAACTGAGGCAAGGCAAGGAGCCGGGGGGCAGCAGCCCGAGCAAGTTTGGGACTGGCCAGCCCTGTGACACGGAGGGAAAGCCCAGCGCTCTTCCTCTTGGGGTTTTAAAGGAATTATTGCACCAGGGAAATCTGCTACCCTGAAGAGGAGGAAAATAAAATAAAACCAACTAATTTGCTCCCACAACCTCTCCTTGGGAATACCAGTATTTTAATAAGGCTGCTCGGGGTACACGGGACCACAAGCTGCAGACAGGTAAGTGCCACTTCTTAGGTCAGACACCATCATCCTGAGAGGGGACCCAGCTCCTGGGTCCATCCTCTCTCCGAGCCCGGGTGACGCAGCCCCCCACACAGGGGTCCTGTCCTGGGCACAGGCAGCACCGCGGCGTTTCACTACAGCTGCGAGAAGCTGCCAGGTAAAGTCCCAGAACGGCTCTGGGTTTAGGCAGACCCCAAAGCCTGGAGCTGTCCCCGCACTGGGGAAGCTCCTGCTCATTTTGAGCATCCCACCCTCTCCCTCCTCTTTTATAAACACTTGGCATTTATACTGTGTTGTAACACCGCAAAGCTCTTTGCAACCGATGCACTCATTAATCCTCACGCTCCCCCTCCAAGCGGAGAGCAAGCCAGCTGCCTTTCACAGAGGGGAAACTGAGGCAGGGCAGTTAACAGGTCAATGCCGTTTCAGCATCATGAGCTCTGTCGGGCTGACCGTGGCTTTCTCCTTGCTGGTGTTGCTGAAGGCTTTGCTTGCTTGGCTGCTCAGCTGTGCTGCCAGGAAGCCCCAGCTGCCTGCACTGCCCTGTGAAACCCCCGGAGCCCCCCGGGCCTTGGGAAGGGAGCTGCAGGACAAGCCGCAAGTGCCGCCACCTAAACCCCGACCAGCCCCAGGCCCCGCTCAGACCTTCTTGGTAACTTCCATCTGTACCGAACAGCCTGGGGAAGCACACAGATTTCTGGTCTTTCTGCTCTGGAGGTGAATTTTTATGAGTCAAACCCTCTCCAGCGCACATCCCCACACCTCCCTCTCACACTGAGGTGCTGAGGAGCAGGCTCTCTCTGAAACGGGGGTACCAGGAGCATGGGCTGCCACACGGCACTCAGGGCAGGCAGAGATCACACAATCCCTCTGGGAGACAGGAATACACCGTGCAGCAAGGGGGGGGGCTGCAGCTGGGGGTCACTGCTAGGACAGCCCTACCCGTCTTCAAATACTCTGACTTTTCTTTGGAAAAGAGAGAAACATCCTTTCATTACACTGTCCTAGACTTCACAGCTCAAAGACTATGTCTTCAGAGTGCAATACAAAAAAGAAAATAAAGACACGCTGTAAGCGCTGTTGCTGGCCCCGCCGGACACCCGCACCCCGCTCGGGTCTCCCAAGGACCAGAGCATCCCCCACCGTCCCCCGGCTGCCGCAGGATCCCCACCACCCGGGCCGTGTAAACTGGCCGGCCGCTCCAGAGGCCCCGGGGAGCAGCTGAAGAGCTGGGCCGTGGTAACGGAAACAGTAGCTTATGATTTGCCTTTGTAAATTTGTTAGTGTGTGTTAACGGAAGCCCTGGCCTGGCAGGTGGTGGCTGCAAAATCTTACAGCATCTTGCCCTCTGTACCGTACGTCAGGGTCACATAGAAAAGTTTCCAGTGGAAGAAATGGAAGACATGGGGAAAGGTTTTCTTTGTTTCTGTACAAAGTCTTGATGGGAATCCATGGCTTCATTCTCATAAATAACAGGTCCTTAGTACATGTCCTTGTAGATCTCCTGCAGAAGCGGGTGCAGAGATGTCTCCGTCTCTGTCTTCTTGATTTTCTGCACCAGCTGGGCGTGCTCTGTCACCAGCTGCCGCAGGTCAGCCATCTTCTGCAGCAGCTTGGGGAAGAGGTACTGGGCATCCGGGTGGTTAGACTGCAGGTGAAACTCCAGCGCTTGCAGGATGTTGTCTTGGATCTCCTCCACCTGCTTCACGTTCATCAGGCCAGGACGGTCTGTGGAGAGGAAGCACAGTGCCCGTCATGTTATGGTGTAGCTAAACACCATTTCATTTCCCTATGCTCCTCCTGGAGGGGAAGGGGGGGATGGGGACTGTAACCCACCCACCGTGACTCCAACCTCATCAACTAGACAAGGGGGGGAAGTGTGCCCACGGACAACATATCCCACAGCAGCAAACACGAAGGAGATGCCACTTCTACACGCCTCATTCTGGGTCCAAGCTTGCTAGGCATCAACCGCCAGGGAGAAGCTTTGGTTTTTTGGAAGTGTCCAGTTCTTCTCTCATGCCCCTAAGACATCCCTGGTTGATCTCAGGGCCAGCTGCAGTTCAGTGCCCCCCAGCCCGGCCTCAACCACCTCTAAGTTCAGGAGGATTCTCCTGACACTCGCATGGCCAAGAGCGCCCGCTCACCTCCGCACAGGATAATGGCAGCCACAAACAGAGACAAGTCACTGTCGTCCAGCTCCAGCGCATTGAATTTCACAGCAAACTCAAATTTGGGCTCCATGATCTCACTGAAGGGCTTGCGCAGGCTACGCAGGAACTCGCGGGTCACGAAGCCGTTCCCGTTGGCCACCAAGAGCCCATCCTTGTTCATGATAGAGGCCAGCATGGCAAAGATGGCCTCATGCACCCCGTACTTCAGCAGAGTCACTTGGTCATTCAAGTAGAGGCCTATGAAGCTGGGGATGCTCTTGGCGAACTCGGTGAGCTCCCGCACAGTCTCCACCGTGGTGCACTGGCAGCGGTAGAAGACGTGCACCCCGATCTCCTTGTAGGGGGGAATGCCGTTCACTAGCTGTTTCCACACCAGCCCCTTTTCTGCCTGCCACAAGGTGTCCATGTCGTGGATCACAAAAGGCTGCTTGAAAAAGAAGCAAACAGTTAGCAGCCTGCCACGGGGACTTGAGTTACCACCTCTGCCAAGGACATTCCCATTTGTCTGCCCGTCCCTCTTGCTCTTCTGGGGCTGACAGTGCTTGGGCAATCCGCACCCACCCGCCACAGCAAAAGGCTGCAGAGCAATGGGGATTTTCCCAGCGAGGGGCAGGACGTGCAGAGCCCACCTGGCTGCCGTGGGGAACCAGTACATGTGGAACAGCTACAGCGGGAGGGAGATGAGCAACATCTCCCAGAGAACAGCCCCCCACGTCGGTCATGGCCAACCCCACCTGCCCTGGGGAGGGAACTTACTGGGGTGCTGCTGGCCTTCCCGGTCAAGATACCTCTCGCCTTCTTTTTGGTCATGTTGAAGTTTTTCAGGTAGGCATTGTAGATGTGCTTGGAGAAAGCTTTCAGGTCGGCCACCTGTGGGTTCTGGCAGCTGATCTCGCTCGCCGTCAGCCCCGCCACCAGCTTCCTCTTCTCCGCCTCCGGCATGCGGCCGAAGCGGATTGCTGTTGGGGGGACAAAACCAGCGGGTCAGGACACTGGGGATGACCCCAGGAGACGCGTCCAGTCTGCTCTGCCGCCGCAGGCAGAGGTCTGCTGGTGATCACCTGCAGCTACACAACACGATGCTTCTCCAGGGCTGCAGCTCCTCCGGCATCGGCACCTTCGTGAACCAGCCGTTCCTGCTACCCTTGCCAACCCAGCCTCACACTGAGCTCCCACCCCCACTCCTCTGGGCTCCGGCACGAACCCTGCTTCCCGCATAAACACTTTTGTTTGGCCAGGAACAAGATGGTTACACCTAAAGTTTAAAAATCCCAGTGCACAAGAGCAATCTGTGTGTCCAGTTCCCTCTGGGTTAACCCATAAGGGACAGCCATGTGCTGACAGCCAGCCTGCACGGTGGGAGTGAACAAGAAGAGGATGGAGAGTCAAAGGCTTAAACCATTGGGTTTTAAAGATGATCCCCTAGCAAGAAGAGAGCCGCAGGACGAAGCAAGCTACATACAGCCTCCCCGTGTGAACCCTTCACAGAAGGGCAGATGGCCCTGTGGCACCCAGCCGGCCAGGCCTGTGGACAGGGGTGACACTCACCGTTATGTGACATGCCCAACGAGAGGCATTTCTGGAAGCGGCAGTACTGGCACTTGTTCCGGTTCTTCTTCTGAATCTTGCAGCTCCTCTCGCACTTCTCGTACTCCAGCTTCATGCGGATCGTCCGGCGGAAGAAACCCTGAAGGCAGGTGGCACAGAGGGGGACGTGGAGCAGGGGGACAAGGGAACAGCAGTGTTAGCACTGTGGTTTGGGATCAGGCTTGTTTATTATCCCCAGGAGCCTCACGGAGGTTCAGCTGGGTGGGGAGGAGGAACCCTGGGTCTCTTTGGCACAAGCAGAGGCTCCGTCTCAAGGAGAGGTCTGGCGGTGGGAGAAGGGGGCTGCAGAGGAGGAACCGTGGTGGGCAGCCCCCGGTCCGGTGCCGGAGGGCTGCCTGTGCTACTGCAGGCTGCCAGCAGGGAGGGATGGAGGAACGAGCCGCGGGCTGGCCCCAGCCTGCAGGAATGTCTGGCAGGACCCGGGCTGCTGCTGGCATCTGCTGTGGGGGAAAGAATTTCAGAGGCACATCCAAGCTGCGGCCAGTGATCCCAGGGGGATAAACACACAGCTCACTGCTGATCTGCAGCAGAGAAAGCATCTTTAAAAGCAAAGCCAGGGTCCCTGTGGGGACAGACAGATTTGCCTTACAAAGTAAAGCATGACAGGGCAAGATGTGGGCCACGTGCATCTCAGCTGCCTCCCCCAGGACAGTATTTGTGTGCCTGCCTGCACTCTCCACGCTCTCTGGACAGGTTGCAAATGAGTTTATTCCAGTCACTCAATCCCGCATCCCTGTTAGGCTGGCCAATCTGCTTGTCTGAAGAGATGGCATAGACCCTGGGGTTTAATCTCTGCTCGGCCTTGCTGAACCCAGCCCTTCCCAGCGTGTACGCACCTTGCAGCCCTCGCAGGCATGCACGCCGTAGTGAAACCCCGAGGCTTTGTCTCCGCAGACCCTGCACTCCACGTTCAGCGCTCCCAAGGCCGCCTCCTCACAGCCCATCTGCAGCTGGTCCGACAGGGAGGGAGAGGAGCTCTGCGAAAGGTCTGCAAACACACAAAGGGATCTGTCCTTTCGTGCAGTAGCCGCAAGCCCGGCGTCACGTCTAACTCCTCCAGCCCTGGGGCTGAGGAGGGATTTCCAGCACTGTCTCAGCCTGCCACTGGAGTTGCATCTGGGCAGTTAACCTCTGAGATCAGGCACTGGCCGCAGGCAGATGCCATGCCCAGAGCCAAGAGTGCCCCCAGCAGCTGAGAGACTCCACATCACTGGTGATTTCTTCCCTCTGGCATTCATGTCTAGGCAATGAAACCCAACCAGCGAATTTTCTAATCCCCAGCTGGCAGGCAGCTGGCACAGGGCTGCCCAGCTGGAACACCCGGGGCTCTGGAGGAATCTCTTCAGCAGCATCAAACCTTCTGCCCCAGCTCCTACAATCAGTTTTCACTGAGGACTTCAAGAAGTGGCCAAGGAAGCATTCTCAGGCACCCTGGCAGTCCATCACTCTGGGGCACAACGCTGCCTGCCTGTCCACCTCCCAGCCTGCTGCCAACGGCCGTGCAGTGACCGCAGGGCTAGAAATCAGCCTCTCCGTAACTTGGCTCTCGATGCATTATTTCACAAAGGGAAGAGATGAAAATAAGCCAAACGCTGTTCACAGGCAGGTCCTCTGCCCTTGCAGCTGAGCACACTGCCTGGAGGACGTGGATGCTGGGATGCTCCTGGGACAGACGAGCTCCCGAGGCTCCGCTCACCTGTGTAGCTGCTCGAAGGCAGTGAGCTGTCTGGTCCTCCACTTGGATCCGAGGCTCCACTCGCTACTCTCACTGCCTCTTCCTCCTCCTCTTCCTTGACCTCAGGTACTTCCTCCTGTAGTTGTTCCATAATTGATCACCCCTCAGTGCCAAGACTGCAATCCCTGTCATAGCTCTGGCATCATCCGCGTCTATCCGAGATGGACCCTACCAGGCTGTTCCTGCTAGCCTGCGGGACAGAGGGAGAAACGTGCGGTGTCAGCTCCTCATTTGCTGCAGTCCATCCCAAGCACCCCACACAGAGCACCTCAGCAGCAGGGCCGTGTGTAACCACACTAGTCCTGCTTTGCTTTCTCTCCTTATCCAGGGAGACGAGCAGAACCTGGGGGCTTTTAAAGGTCACTTTGCATTGGTATAAACACTCTGTAGGACTCAAGGAAGCAAAAGCTCACCGGAATTGTTATTTAAAGCCCAGCAGGCAGAGCCCAGACCACAAACCAGCCCAGATGCTACCCAGGGACCTGGACGCCCCAGCTTGCAAGTCCCACAGCAGAAATACTGCCGCAGGCAATGTCCCCCAGAGCTGCCAGCGCCCTGGGATGTCCCAGTGGTACCCAAGGCCGGGGTTTGACAGAGCCAACACCACCAGAAAGATTAAGGTAGTGCTGGCTTCACCCTCCATCCCCACCCAGCCGAGGCAGAGCTCGGATCGAGGGCAGTGGCTGATCAGGGCGCAGCGGCTCTGTGCCCATGGGTGGGCGATGCAGGGGGAGCAGGGCTTGGTGCAGCAGCAGGCCGTGGCTGAAAGCCCCCGGCCCATGCAAGCCATCTGCAAGACCGATGGCTTCCTGCCGGCCCCCGAGCTCATGCTCCTTCCCATTACAGCGCTGCCAGTTACAACGGTTTGTGTTTATTTTCACTCGTCGTGTTGTAACCGGCCCCGGCTCCGCTGCCAAGAGCCGCTGGGTTGAACGTGTTGCTGTTGCTCCGCGCAGCTGCTGGGCCGTGCTCAGCCACAGGGTCCAGCAGCGTGATCGCAACGGCCACACAATCCAGCTAGTGTCTTAATCCTGGGTTTCCTGTGGGAGGAACAGCCCCGTCCTCCTCCTGCATGCTTCCGCTCCTTGTTTGCCTTGGTCCATCCCAAACATCCCACAAAAAACTCATGCCCTGCAAGCGATGCACTGGACCATCACGGAGCCGTTCCTGCCTCCCTCCTAACCATGATGGAGCTCACCTGAGTGTCCAGCTCTTGCTGCAACATCCCAGCACTCATTTACTTCCAGATCTTGATTCCTAAACTGACTCTTGCTTGAGTAATTAATATCTCAAGCCCAGTTTATCCACTTCCTTAAAGGAACTATTTTTAAGCAGAGAAATATCCATCAGAAAAGCCACTGAAATCCAGCTTCCACCAGGAAACCCTCATTTTGCAGGCACGAGTTAAACTGATGCAGCATCTTCAAGCCTGCATCAGCGTGAAGCGAGTAAGATACTCACAGGGTACTCGCACGAGGGCAACCCCCAAGCAGAAGGGTGGTCTGTGACCCAAGCCCAAGCCCAAGCCCACCCCACAGGGCTTGCTGGGGGAGGGCACCAGTGACCCAGGACTCCCTGGGCTCGTTTCCCCTCCTGCAGCAGATCCTCATGCCTGGCACTTTGAACTTGAGCCGCAGCCAGCTCCTTGGATTTGCTGGAAAGCTGTTGGCGCCGAGCAAGGTCAGAGCTCCCTGCGAGATCAAGGAAGCAGCCGAGGGAAGAGGACAAAACCTGCAAGTGGGAGGTTGAATGTAAACACGTCATAAAGCCAGGACACAAGTCATCCCCCGGAGCCAGCGCTGCACCGGAGCCGGGGTCTCCCACGGGCAAAGGGGCTTTGCTTTTCCCCTCCACACTGGGAATTCAGGCTGCAGAGCAGACGGCTTTGTTTCAAGGAGAGGTACGCTGGAGGCAACTAGCAAGCACGAGTGCCCTGCTCTCCTTTCCAGCAGCAGGCAGAGGGGTGCTTAGACAAGGGCAGAGCGCTCCCTTCCTGAGCCTCCGCAAGAGCACTAAGGGCCCATTGAAGGGCTGTGTTATCCTTGGCCTCCTCTCACACATCCCGCGCGGTGGGACACGGCACACAGGCAGGAAAACCTATTCATCGGAGATGGAGGGTAACGAGCTCCATCGTTTTGAAGGCTATATATAAATGAATGTACAAACATAAGGAAAACGCTTTTGCCTGTAAAAAAAGCGGGGGGGAAGCTTGCGGCAGGAGAAACTAGTCTACAGTGGAAAATACATCCAGCAGCGGCTTAATGAGCTTCTTATTAGCTCTCCTTTGTCTCTGGCATGCAGCACAGGCCACTTGCTTTAAACCCAGTGCAGATGGAACCCTCTGCTTCGCCTCAGGTGCCTCATGGCACGATGCTATTGGGATAAGGTGGGCACAGCCCTCCAGCTGCATCCCTGGTATGTTGTCCTCCTTCTGCTGGCTCTACTCAAGGCCGTGTATTCCTGGGGGGCGGGCAGCGAGTTTGCGACATACAGCTTGCTCTCCAAAACCCACCAAAGCAACCCCAAAACTGTGCTTGGGGTCAGTCTGGCTAGAGACGGGTGTGCAGCCCTGGGAAGGGGAAAAGCAGAGGGTGAGATGTGCAGAGACAGCAATGCCAGGCTCCAGCTAAGGCTCCCCACATGCACGCAGGCATTACGGGAAGGGTAAGGATTTGGATTCCACCCTTCAAGAGTGCCTGGAGAGCCAGAGAGAGAAAAGCTTTTACCAGAAGGCTCTGAATGTATTGTTTTACTATCTTCTTGCAGACCAAGAGTACAGGGGCCTGGGCTGAGGGAAGCTGTGAGAACTGTTTGCACACCTGCCTTTCCCTTAGCCATTCCCCTGTTTTCTAAACAACAGATAGAGGGAGAGGAGCGGGGAAAAAGGGATTGATTTCACACAGGAGGCTGCACCCCCTGCCTTCAGCAGATGAAAAGCCAAGGCAGCCGCTGCCTGGATGAAAGCCAGGGACCATGCCTGCACACCCCAGCGTGGGGTGAGCCAGCTTGGCAGGGCCCCCAGAGGGATGTGGACCCTCAGCCCTCCCCTCCGGGCCGAGGGCAGCGGCACGGCAGCACGCAGAGACTGCGGAGATTTGCCAAGGTTTCACGCAGGCTCCTCCATTCCCCTGCCAGCCCTGCGGTCCAGAGAGGGCTACGCTGGGAAACTGGAGCTCCCCAGAGGTTTGTCCAAGCTCTGTCCCTCTGAGGGTGAGGAGGGACCTGCCCTGCCAGCACAGCCCTGCATCTTTGTGGGATGGCACCAGGGAGGGCTGTGTGGATGGCTGAGGGTGGCCAAAGGGCCCATCTCAAACCCCAGAACCTCTCCTTGTGTTCAGTGCCTCCACATCCAGCTGTGGAGCAGACAGAACCAAAGGAGGGATAATTCAGCCTTCTCCCCTTGGCTGAAAAGCCACCTGCCAGAGCACAGCACACAAGATCCGAGCTGCAGGCAGAAGGGCAGAGATTCCTGCCTGGCGCAGCCACACCTTTTTTCTGTTTGGCAGCTGTCACAGGGCAGCGATGGAAAGAGAGATGGAAACAAGGACGGCAACTGTGATTCCTTCCTAAGCTTCTGCAGAGAATCCAGCAAAGCTGTTTCCCTTCCTCTTCCCACAGGATGGGAACGAGCAAGAGGGCAAGCATCTCATGACTTGCTCTGCCCTTGTCTCAATCCCTGTTCCAAGGAGCTTCGGCAACCCCGGCTGTGAGAGATCAGTCTCCCCCCTGGGAGCCTGCAGCCAGCGAAGGGTGGGTTTGTTTGCTGGCTCCAGGCTTAGGCAGATGCCTGCTGGCTGCCCCGCTCCCACGCTGCAAACAGCACAGGCAACAGGTTTATCTTTACTAGAAGCAGGGGCTGGCATCTATGCCAAGCTAAACCATATGGCAGAATGAGGGGAGGGACACAGCACAACGAGAGGAGGAGAAAAACAGGAAGAAAAGTTAAAACGAGACAAATCTTCAGCACTGACCCCCTGCAAGAAGGCAGTATTTCTCCAGAGCCAACCAAGACCCAAGACTCCAGTTCATTAACCCGCAGCTTGTACCCCTTTGGCCTGACAGCTCCTCACTGGTGATTAGCATGTAGACCTTGGAGGCAAGTTCAGAGAAGCAGAAGCTGACAATCTGGCGAGGAAGTGCCCGCTTCCCCACGCTCCGTGCGCAGGAGGGGTGGTGGGGTGATGTGACGGAGAAGCCCAGTTTCTCACCAGCGTTCAAGTCCCGCACGCCGAGCGAAGAGTCACAAGAAGGGGACGTGCATTTCAACACAGACACCCAGGCGCTTGCAGCCAGCCAGCCACAAAATAAGAGCAAGGAAATGCTCATAATTAGAAGGACCTCATCTTTAAACCAGGTGTTGTTTCCCTGGCGGTGAGGGCAGAGGTAATTCCGGTGTGCTCACAGGGGTGGAGAGAGGACGCCTGCCCCCACTCCCCTCCAGGAGAGCAGACATTTATTTCTAACATATTTATATAGGTGGGATTGATCAAGTTCCCACCGCAGTCTGGATCTTATCACCACACAAGATCCCTTCCTAGAAGATGGGAGTTTCCAAGTGCCAAAAAAAGGTCCAAACCTCCCAAGGGCCAAATCACAGAGCTGATCTGCTCCAAGAGGTTATTCAAGCTACTGTAAAAGAAGTCACCAGGAACTGCGAAAGGAAACCAATTTACCGTGGGAGCACTTCTGGCTTGTGTTTTTATTCCTCTGGACAAAAATATCAGCCAAATTCACAGCCAACAAAAATTAATCCTTTTGGAAGGGGCGAGAGGAAAACTCAGCCCTCTATATGGCAGTGCCTTCTGTGATGTGCAGCACATATTGAATGCACAGACAAAAACTAAACTGAATCCATAAAAGAAGTGATTGCCACTTTGGCTATCATTTGCTGATGCCCTTCGGGTTGTGTCACTGTTTCTGATATCTGCTGATCAAGTACCAGCTTCTGTTCCTCCTCCTACGTGTCAGCTACTACTAATAAAAGCTGAATAAGAGATAAGCAGATGCCGCAATACAGGAAAGGTAACTAACTGCACAAAACAGGAGAGACAAACACTGAAAACATGTTTGTTTTTGTTCCCGAAAGATCAACATAACTCCTCATTAGCTAATGAGATCTCATCAGCACTTACCACCCAAGTGCTTCCTCCCTTACTCAAAGTCTTGGCCGCAAGGCAGGCTAGCTAGGCA